TTAGGACCATGTAGAATAAATGGGAAAATACTTGCCTGTCAGTCATTGACAACAAATAAGAAACATGCCTAGTGCCTGTTTGAGTAGTACTTGAGTAATACTTTTTGCTGATGGAAGATGAAGGAGTGTTGGAGAACAATTAATTTGGATGTAAAACAAGGATCTACAGAATAGGGACTAGCTTAATAGTTTTGTAAAATGTAGATTTGTCCACATGCAGCATTACTAACTTTGAAAGAAAATACTTCAAACATTCTAATTTTAAAGAAATTACTTTGGAGCTTATTTTTATTTATTTATTTATTTTTTTATTTTTATTTCCTATTTCCTCTGCACTGACAGAGTATTTTGGACCATTCTGGAGGAGCTCTTGGTGCAGAGCATCACTGAAACTGTGCATAGGGAAACTGGACAATTCCCTTAGATACAATAACTTCTGCAAGTTCCTTCTGAGGAACTGGGTCGGTAACACCCAAATGTACTGTGCTTTTGAGAATTGAGAATCTAATAAAGTTTTGCCTGCTCTGGATCTTTAAAAGCAATTTTCAGAGGTAAAAATAACTAAAAATCCCAGAGTGGTCCAAATGCAGCGTTCAAATTTTAGCACAAAGTATAAATGGCGTTTGATGCTCTTGCCAAGGCAGAGTCTCTCTGGGTGTGGAAAGAGCATCGTAGTCCTTCCTGACAGCTTATGTGGAAGTCCAAGTGGTCGGGAGTTAATTCCCTCTGTGACAGCCTTTTGCAATAGTCTCAGCTCAGCTCATCTTTTTCCAAAGCGGTTGAATAGCTCCACTTAGCACAGAACTGGGCAGGAAAAACCTGTGTGATTGGGGTTAAAGGCTCAGTACTAGATGTTAAAGTGCCCTTAATTCATTAGGAGTTACCTGCATACTAACTATGTTCAGCCACTTTATCCTGAATGGAGCTAAAACACCTCAATAGTATTTTCTCAGGAGTGTTTTTTCTGCTATTCCTGGGCAAAATGTTTTTGATTTTGGGCACACTTTGCTTTTGTGTTTCTCTAATGGTACAGGCAATAAACTGACCTTTCTAGTCTACGCTTTAACTGAATGCAAATGAATTTACAAGTTTTTAATTTCCAAATAAAAAGTGTCGTTTCATGTTTTGAGATTTTAATGCCTTTATTATTTAATCTGATAACACACAACTGAAATCGTTGATGCAGCATATAAAAATTTCAGTGTGCTTTTCTTTGGTTTAGAAAATGATTGTGTAATTATGGGTGAGAACAATCTTCTCTCCAGAGTGGTGAGGGAAGAAGACAATTGGCCAAGAATAAAAAGTATATTTGATCATGGTCTTGGCTTTTAAATCATAGGATAAAATAGCATTCTCAGCAATATCAGCCTGCAAGTTATTTAGTAAAATAATTTAATTTAATGTTATAATGGACTCTGGCAGATAATAAAGCAAGCAAGCCAAAATGATTCATATACACTCACGTCATCTCCTTATGGGGGCTCTACTTAGAAATGTTAAGTGCTTTCATGATGTTGCTTTCCTTATGTATTTGATTACAAAATTAAAACTATAATAATGTGTACTGTGTGACATGAACTAAAATTTTATACACTCTAATATTTACTTTCCTGCATTTCCTCTTTCCAGAGCTTTTGTTTTTATTTACATTTCACAGTAATATATTTATAATTTTGTACATAATTTCTGTTTTCTCTGGGAATGTTAGTAACATTGTTACTTGCTTCACTTATTTCTTTAGTGCCTGTCAGTCTACCAAAAAACATCAGAGCAATTTTTCCTTTTAAATAAGTTTTCCTTAGAAGATTAACCAACATTTTTTACTGTTTTTGGACATAGTGCTGTTGTTAATAAAAATGCTAGCATGTGTAGGTATAAAATCTCATATATGATTAATTGCATTTGTTGTGCTATTTGTCTTTATTATGYGTTGCTACAATATTAAGTGTGGAGACTTTGGATGAGATGTTTCTAATGATCTTCTGCTATTGAGGAACCAGTGTTTCTAGKTTGTATATAGCTTTCTGCTGCAAGCCAGGAAAAGGATTTGAATTTATCCTGTCATAACTGTGGTTAAGATGCATGATATACAGTTTCTGAAAGCAAGAACGCAGTGCAGACTCTATGGGAGTTCGCAGGCAGCAAGTGGGCCTTGTTGCAGCTATAATGGTCTAAGGCAAGCAAGATGATGTTTGAAGATTTAATGCCTGAAAACAGMACTCATCAAAGCTAACAATAAGTAAGAACAGTTGCTCCATTACTAACTTTATCTTAGCACTGTCTTTTTTATCAAATACTTTAAACTGATTCATATGCAGTTGAAATAATTTAACCTAGATGTATCAGCAAAGGTTGCCATCCATTTCCATATATTTTATTCATTCAAGACACTAAATTCAATCTGTGTAGCTAMAAACTCTGGATTCTTTTTTTGTTCTTGAAAAAAAGCTTTCAGTAGGTTCAAAATCAAAGATTATATTCATTTTCATCTAATTACTGCTACTGATTTTAAACTAATTTTGATGAATCATGCAATTGTCACAAATGTTTGGAAAACTTTGATATCAAAAACTGATTCTTCTTACTTTGATGTTTTACTGTAATTCCTTTTAAGAGTAAAACACATTCATGTGTACAATTGCTCTTTGATGGTAGATTAATACTRTATTTCATTTTTGAAAGCTCATTGCTATTGACCATACAGCCTGCTTGTGCTRTTGTTGGAGATGGCTCATAATTGCTGCAAAACTATTTTCTGTAACATTTTTAAAAMGTTGAAAATCATATTGGAATTCTCTTCCTTCGGCATTTCTTCAGCTAACAATCTGCATCCAATTGTCTGTTCAGTTCTAGGCTCCAGATGTTGTGGACCTTTCCATTCTAACTTCCCCAAACTACAGATCTGACCTCATCTTCCAGACAAATCCAAGATTACACAGATTTTGGCAGACTCTTTTTATTGTTAATGGTAAATCAGCAGTGATGTTAGCTGTTTTTAGGTCTATTTGGCYGGTTAATCAAGTTAGTATTTTTCATTTGCATATTAATTGTCTGAAATTTTTAATTTATTTTTCTTCATGCAGTGCAACTTTCTTATGTGGTAATTGCATGATACAGTAGCCGTTGTTTAATTTCTGCAGCTAAATATTGTACTTCTCAAGCTCAAACTCTTCTTGGCAAGTAAATGTATTGTTGTGCCAAAAAAACTGACTTTATGAGATGCCTGGATTACAGCTCAGCTGTTTGTGGCTTTACCCCACCCACTCAGTGATCTTGGAGCATCATTTGACCTCCATGTGTGCCTGGGAGTTGCATTTAAAAGTTGCCATTCATACTCCTCGTGCAGGAGCACAGATTTCCTCAGAGGCAATTGAAGATTTCTGTTTCATTCCCAGTAGTAGTCACAGTATTGACAGACCTATCCTTTTTTTTTGCATCCCATCATGTCCAGCCATGAAGTAAAATAATCTCTTTTTTTTTAATGTGTGTGTAATATATTCATTGTAGACAGAGGCAACAGCTTCTTCGGGTTTTGTGGTTTATCCCTTAGGACATACTCTGTGCCCCAAGAAGGCAACACAAGTGCAGTTACCTCTTGGATAAGGACAGAGAAGGAGGCGAAATGACCAGATAAATTACTGAAAGACAGGACTTTAAAAAAGTCTAAGAAGGGAAAGGAAGCTCCATGATTTTCTTTTAAACATAGAAATGCTCCCAGGGCCCTTGTAATGAAATAGTACAACCATTAAGTTGTGGTTTGTGGCTCTGGTATTTCATGGGGGGTGTTTCCTGGTGTTTCATGCTTTACTGTACAGAAAATTGCAGAGAAGCTCAGAGAAACAGCAAATAACCCTGTAATGTAGTACTTTTTTTTTTTTTTTGACCAACTATTAATCATTTTCTCCTTTATGTATTTTTTCCACATCTAATTTTGTCTCTTTCCGTGGGCAGGCTGCTTCTTTGTGGTTTTCCTCTTCATACAGTCTTTTCTCTAAACATTTGCTACAAGTCACCATCAGGAGAACTCACCTAATTAAACCCTTACCCCAATCTAATATATCCATTCTTATGTTCCTGTCTTACAGTTTTATAATTGCAATTACTGTCTACTCTACCACTTTCTCAGTATGAGTGTCTGAAAATGCTGGCTATATAGAAAATACAGATTTCCACTAGTTTATCTGTTTTCCAGGAAGACTCTCTCTCTATATATATACATGTATTTTCTTTTAAACACCACTTGACTGATATTTTATCCCTCTCATAAAAGTTCTGAAGTTCCATTGAAAAGCTGAAAAATGCAGTAGCTTCAGACCATGAAATTACAGCAGATTCCTGCTAGACCTTTGAAGAGTAATTCTGACATTCAGACTTTTCAGTCCATCCTTCTTTTGGCTGCAAGAAGCCTTTTCTCTCGTTGATTCTCTGAGATCTAGAGACATCCATCTAAAATACTTCAAAGTAAATCGCTTTGTTATCATTGTGGTGCTTCTGAGACCACACTGATTGCCCAAGTCCACCCTGAGACCTCTGCCTGCAAGACAGTTGTTGAGACAGAAGCCCTCAGAGTCCCCATGTCAATAAGTTACAATAAACTTCACTTAGGCTTTACTTACATGTTGCATACTTGAATCTCGCTGCTCCCGAAGAGTGTGTTTAATCTGTCCCTGCTACCCTTGGTCCGAAGAGAAGCACCTAGTGATCTGCTTGGTCAGTGACACGTCTAAAGCAGGAGGCTGCCACGATGCTCCAGCCCCACTGCGGACCTCTTGCTGGCCACAGAGGCCGAGGCCTCTCACCCAGCCTTCCTGCTGTGCTCCTCATGGACTGGCTCCCTTTGTACCCTGACTTTGGCCTCATGGACTGACTCCCTTTGTACCCTGACTTTGGCCGACCTTTATCTAGTCTTTTGTGTTTCTTTTTTTTTAATTTCCTTTTTTTTTTTCTTTATTCTTTTTTTCCTTGAACACTGACTCTTTGTCTGCAGAAATCAACCTAACGTGGTTTATAAATTCATTTTTTCCAGCTCAGCTTTTCCCCATTAGCTGTGTTGCCAGTAACAGCTGCTCTGTTGCGGTTCCATTATCTGCCCTTTTTAGTCATTCCCAGTACTCTCATTCTGTGCTGGAAATATCCCCCAGAGCTTGAGAGGAGGAGGAGGAGCTCACTTAATACTGGCTACTACCTATAAGAGCTTTTTTTTTTTCTTTTGGCAATTCTAAAGGTTTCTAGAAAATGCCCCATCTTGTAAATATTACTGGCCAAATGGGAATCTCAGCTGTATTCCATCTTCTAAGGATGCTCCTTTAATAACTAAGATAATGGCACTAGTTCTGTTAGTTTAGTACTAACTGGCACAGAGATTGAGGAACCACAAGTATTATCTAAACGTGAAGTACAGTAATTCAATAAAAAGAGCTTTTCTGTAAAGTACCATGTACTCACTATGTGACATAGCAAGGACTTTAGAGGTGGTGTCTGGTTCACTAGGCAATTTGTATGGCACTATTGCAGTAGCATTAGAATGCATCACAATCTTGAATGAATCTATCCTTGCAAGACTCCACTGAGGTACGGAGATAGCAGCACTTTACAGATGAGTCCTGGATGGAGGGAATTTGGGAATCCCATCTGGATGGGCAGCAGCATGTGGCGTGCAGAGCACAGCAGTCTGCAGGGGGATACACTTGACCTAGAAATCTGGTCAAGTAACCTAGGTCAAACTGACATGAGAGCCTAAAATGCTCCTTAGAAAGACTTCAGTACTGTTACTGATTTTTTTTTGTTTGTTTGTTTGTTTTTGGAACCTATTATGTCTTGAGTATTCCTATTTTCTGAAGGCTGAAATACAGAAGAGACCGAGGCTGCAATATTTGCTCAATACTAACCATGATCAGCAGTAAATAAGCCAGTAGACCCCAATTCTGGGCTTGTGTTATAAGCAGTATAACAACAACCATTCCTCTTATTCTAGAAACTGTATTTAGGGCAATTCTTCAGTTTGCTTTTTTGTATACAATAAAAGATCAGGAAAGTGGTACAAAAGTCTTAGAAATCTCTTCTGGGAATGCTTCAAGAAACTGGTAGATATAAGGAACGGGCGGTACCTTCAGGAAAATGTGTTTTGGCTACAATTCCGCAGTAAGTTCCTGTCAACACATGAGCTGTGTTTGTGTGTTTGGACTCCTCCCCACCACAGCTCTGTGCTTGTTTCTGTCCATTTCTATTGCAAAGTTTCAAATAATTGCCAGAATATTTCACAAGCATGTCCTGAACAAGTTGGCAGGAACAATAACTAATGCCATTCAGTATAATTATTAACTGCAAAAAAAAAAAAAAAGAAGAATTCTTCATAGGCAGAGATTCTTACAAACAATCTGTATAGTTAACAAAAATGTAAACAATGATTTTTTTTCATGTCAGAGTATCAAATATGTGAATCTACTAACAAAAAAAAATCCTTTATTAGCCTATTACAGTGACAATTACACCATGCTTCTTTACTGTTTGAACTGATTCTTTATGTCGCTCCCATTCCTCATCGTCTTTGTCCAGATCAAAATTTTCTGGGTAAATGGGCAGCTTGTCTTTTGGGCACTCCTCGTAGTAACTCCGGACGTATTTTCCAACTGACCATCCTTTGTATTCCTCAGGCATTTTGCATTCTAGGCCATTGTAGTGGACGTTGTAGTGATGCTTCAGCCAATAGAAAAGGTAATGGATGTTGTAATCGCATCGCCAGGGATTCTCCCTCAGCCACAGTATTTTCAGAAAATAAAGATCTTCCAATACTCCATAATCAAAATTCTGCAAGCTGTTGTTTGAGAGATCCAGCTCCTCTAAGTTACTGAGCCCTGAGAAAGCAGCTGTCAATATAAAAACAGTTATTGGTATAAACAGTATTGATATAAAGATTCGTTAGACAAAGTGCGTATCTGCAATTCAATATCTGCATCCAGAAAAACATTTTTATGGCTTTAAAAAATAAGTGTCCATACATTAGTTAAAATGCTTTTTTTGCTGAGCTAAGGACTTCTCAAAAACTRGACTTTGAATTGTGGGTTGTATTCTGAAAATATTTATGTGTATAAATATGTGTTGACCTAAATATGTCAACAGTAGAACAGTGGTGTTGCTGGTAAATATGACCATGCATGAAGGTAATATTAAGAAAGTGAAGCTGGACGGCATCAGTGAACTGTTGTTTTGCTTGTGCAACCCTGCTGTTGTTGCCCTGATACAGAGAATTTATTAATTCTATGACAATATGCAAGTCTGTTGTTTTTTATATATATGTATGTATGCATTTTTGCATATATAGAACTTTTAGAAGGTTTAAGAGAATAGGTTCTAATTTTTGTTTCCTTCTCTCCATCTCTCTCTTACCTCTATTTTTGTAATTAAAAACCCTAACATGTATAAAAATAAGCAAGTTGTGTATATAATGCTCCTTGAGTTACCCTGCCTTACAGGGCTCTCTGTAAGAGAGCAATCATATATTGGATTTTTAACCCAAAAGGTTTAAAATCCTTTCAATTTGTCTCTTACTTTAGTATCCAATATGACTGAAAAACAACCAAATTATGTGATACTCTCTAACAGAATTCGCCAAGATATTTTAAAAGTCATTCAACTCTTCAGCCTTTGTGGAACTTACTAGCCTGCCAAACTGATTTTTTTTTGCACTTGGTTGACTTCTTAGTATTAGAATATGGAATCTGAAATTAGTGTCTATTCCTGACATCAGCAATTACTACCTTTCATCACTTTTGAATCTTTTTTCCCCCAACTCTATGTGATAGATTTTTAAATCTTTTTTTTTCCCCAACTCTATCTCTGTGTGATAGACATAGCCAAAGTATATCATTAATAAGAATGAATATGTAAAATTATTCTTACCAGGATCAATGTAAGCTAATCCGTTGCTATTCAGGTTTAATATCTTCAGTTCACTGACATCTTCAAACTCTTTGGCTCGTAGTTGTCTTATTTTGTTGTTGGACAAATCAAGTTTAATTATATCTGGAGGTATGTTACCTGGAACTTTCTTTAAATCTTTAAAAATGAAAAAGACATATTTTGCATAAGCTTTAGATTATTTTTCCTGTTTATGTCACAGTTGATTATCACACAGAGCTACCAAGAGAAAATGAGTTGTTTATTGTGTCTCCAGAGAAAAATCAGAGTTGGTATCTCAAAAAAATCATGAAAAGGCTTAGAAACTACATGGGAAAATGCAGGACACTTTAACATTTTTATTTTTCTAAGATCTATTCTCTGATTTGTCTGTAAATGCAGGGTAAACTATTATTCAGCAATCATTTAGAAATATGTTCATGCTAACTGTGGGAAAGGGCTAAATTGAAAGAACAGAAAGGCAAATTTATATTAATTTGACTATTTGCTCTATCTATTTTTTATATTTTCCTTTCTTTTCCCTTTATCAGTCTAGCATTATTTTCTCCTTGTCTTCTTTCATTTTTTTCCACTATCCCCACATTAGTATCATCTTCTTCTCTTTACTACATATGTAATTGCCATTACCAAAGCAGCTAATATTCATCTGTCCTTATAGAGTTCCTTGTAGAAGGGTTGCAGAAAGCTCAGTGTCCCATTCACATTCCCAAGAAGTGCAAGCCGTGATTTGCATCATCTCAGGAAAACTGCAGCATGAACCCAATCTCCCTGTTCCGTGTTTTCTCAATGAGTGTTCTAATCCTGAGCTTTTATGGAAAGGATGGATGTCATCTCCTCTTTGACTGTCTTTGTATGAAAGTAAGTAGTTCCTGTTCCTAGTTTCTGTGCCAAAATCGGTACAGTCACTGTACATTTTAAATTCTGAATGCAGCATTTCGGAGACTTCCTGCCTTAGATCTAAACTTCAGTAGAGCTTTGGGAGGAGCCCGYTCTGATCTGAGTGTTTCATGTTTGTGCAGATGTCCAAGTTGAAGGCATATTTATCAAATAAGGCAAATAATGTTTGATTTTAGAGACCTTGGGAGGCTGCAGGACATGAATAGATGCTTTTTGAACTGCTCTTGTGAACCCAGATTCTTTTGTGGAAAAGCAAACAGAAGGAATATTTGCATTGAACTTTTTTGCTTTTCTTAAAGGAAGGAGAATCATGCTGTAATTATAGTTTTTGTATAATGTTAGAATTATATTTTGACAGTTGTAGCACATAGGAGATCTGATGAGATAAGAGCAAGGAGTTCTGATTTGAAAAGGAGAATGTTCTGATTTGAAAAGGAGCATGTATATATCTTTACATTAAAAAATTAAGAGGGCTTTCTCACACGTTTTCTGGCATGAACTGGAATTTGCTGCCTGGAGGGGCGAAGGGMAGGCCCTGCTCCTTTGAGATTCAGCGTAGGCTCCACAGCCTGTCGCTCCATCCCCTCCCTTGGAAGGGAAGCRTTTGTGCAGCTGCAGCCATTTGTGGTATTTTACTAGTTTCCCACGTTATACRTCTTTTTTTCCCTACTCCAAAATCTTGTCCAGGTAGATCTGAGGAATTTTCCTTCTTTCCCAGGATTTGGGGTGTATGCTCCTCCTATTTCTGGTAGGCTCAGTTTAATTGTGCATCTGCTGCCCAAAGCAGTCAGTACAGCACGTTCAGCAAAGGGCCATATGTTTGGAAATCCCGAATGTTGCTGGGCTGTGTGTGTCCGTCTGCCCAGCATATGTAGGGAAGCCCTGGTGTGTCCTGAGAAATGTGGGACTCGCACAATGAGCCGGGCCCTGGGGTGACGCAGCCAGCGGGTGGCCTGAAGGAGGGGCTCCCTGTGCCCTCTAATTCGCTCRTGTGGGTTGGGAAGTTACTGTTTGTTCCCTAGTCCTGAAGACAAGAATCCGTTTTTTAAATGCTTTAAAAAGCAATGAAGAGCAGACTGCAATGGAGGGTTATATGAACATTTATCTGGCCAAAACTTTTGAATATACTTTGAGTATTTTTGAGTATATTGTGATATTCATCTAGTCTTTAGTATGCCACTGAGCAGGAAGGTTGGGAAAGTTCTTTTGTCATGAGTTATATGATAGGGCTGAGTTTGTTCCCTTGAACTCTTTTCTGGAGCCTCAAGGCGGTGCCAATAATAATTAAGATCCTGTTGTACTGGGAAAAGTAAAGGAAGTAAATAGCAACAAACATACTCTAGCCAGTATGAAAACATAAAGAATTCATATCTCAAAAGAGATAGCAGTTGCATGGTAAAAAAATAAAATAAAATAAAAATGGGAGAAGAGTGCAAAGTTTAGCTATGTGGACAAGGACAAAGCCTGGGGGATTTTTTTATGACAAATATAACAGATAAACCATGTAGTCAAATCTGATGTTAGTGATTCTTTAGATATTGTCGCCTTATTCTGGTCTCTGAGCTTCTCTCTAGTTTTAGGATTGGGAATAAGAATTGGTATATACATTTAAAGTCACTATTAAATAGAAGAACTGTGTAGAAGTTTGGCGAACATTTTGCAAAATAAAAGTAGGCAAAGCAGAGTGCAGCACTCAGTCATTGCAGGCTGTATTTTGACAACTGTGAGAAAAAACCTCCTAGTACTCCTAGTCTCCTAGTCTCCTCATAGGCTACTCCTGGTAATGATTTTTTTTTTACAATTCGCTTCCAGTTTGTTTTGTTCTTTGCTTTGTTTCATCATGGCCTAAAATATGGGAAATATAAAGCGTGAATAAATGTGTGTTTTTATACTGATATATTCCCCAGCTGAATTCCCCTTAAGGCTTAACTGTGGATTGCAGGAGCCTGAGATGCGTTTGGGGAGGGAATGGGGCCAAGTTTCTGACTAACATTTCTTGAAGGCACTTGAACTTTGAAACGTCTCCTGGGTCCTGAGAGGCACCCGCAGTTTTTCCTCCATGGAAGAAATCTTGCACAGAGGAGATGTGGATGTGATGCCTCTCTGTTGCCATCAGGCTGTGCTGAGGATTGGGAGCCCAGTTCCCAAACARGGACTGAGACAAATCGGGTCTTTTTTGACATCTTTATGTTCACAGCCTGGAAAGAGGACAAGAGAATCTGTGCCCCTTCTCTCTGCCGGTGCGGAGCTCTGGAGCAGCTGCAATAACAGCATCTTGAGAGCTGTAAAAGCAGAGGAGTGAGGTGCTGGTACTACAAGAACTTAGGCAATGCTTAATTTTAGTCMTGTTGATTTTCACTTCATTATTTGTACGAGAACACTTCAGGATATTCGTTTGCAGAATTGGGCCTGTGGAGTGGAGGTGAAACACTGAAAGAGCTCCTGCTTGTTGCTTGTAATCACAGGTTAAGGAAAGTTGAGCCAGTACTGGTGCTATATTGATTTGCTGTAGTTAATGTGGGGACAAATATAGTAAGGGAACTAGAAAAGTAATGTAACTCATTGCGTTATAAAGTATAATACAAACCTTTTCTCTTGCAGTTCAGCGTTGGTACCGGGAACACGTACATGTGGCACAGAGAGGAATCAAATTCTGGTTTCATGGCCTCAGGCTTCTCCTTTCGTATGCTTTGGGGGTCCTGCCTTTCCTCTTCACCACAAAGCTGATCAGCCTTTATCTGCTTTAACTTCTGGTTTTTCAGTTCAATTGGATGCACACACTTGGCATAATTCCCCAAATTCCTGTTTGCTGGAATCTGTAGCATCGTAACAAGAGTTTCCAGTTCACAGTTGCAATGCCAGGGATTATCATAAAGACGCAGGTAGTTTAGCATGGGCATGTAAATAAAAACCTCCTCAGATAAACTCTTTAATTGGTTGTGCTGAAGTAAGAGTGTGGTAAGCTTATGCAAACCAAAGAAAGCCTGGCTCTCAATTTTTGATATATCATTCTGCTGTAAATCCAGACTTTTCAATACCTTATACCTGGCAAACATATTATTCTTCAGTTTACGGATCCTGTTTCTTGCTAGCAGCATGTGTTTTAAATCATCGGGCCAATCAGCTGATACAAAAATCAATTTTCTTTCCTGGCAATCTAGATATTTCTCATGAAGATAAGTGTATGTATCGCAGGGGAGACCGGGCGCGTTGCGCTTGACGGTGCTAGAGCTTTTCCTTAAGGTTCTGTCCCTTTCATTGTTTCTCAGACTCCTGTTCCTTGTCTTTTTAAAGTCAGACACTTTACAGAGAAGAAGCAGTATCATAACAGTTACTACTTGCATCTTGACATTCAGCTGGTCCCTGTTATGTTCTGTGACAGCTGGAACAGCCGGAGTATTTGGATAGTCTTAAGCAGTGTTGTTCGGATGTGAGGAGGCGCAGCTGGGGTATGTGAAATCCCTGCGCTGGAAGAGAGGCAAAATGTTAGAGAAGATAAGGCAGACATTTCCATCGAGCCTTGAACAGAGCACACAGCAGTCAGTCAAGCTCTCAGGCATCGCCCTGCTCAGAGCTGCATGGATATTCTCAGCTGTTAATGGCATGTCTCGTTTTTGCTCTCACTGCTGGCTCTGACGCACTGTGATTCACTTGTGATTAAACGTGGCAAATTTATCACAAAAGGACTGGCTTCTCACTGATTTTTAATCGGAGATTCTTGTATATTCAGCAAAAGGGCATGGCCTTTAGAGTTTGCCTTGCAAGCACAGCTTGAAAGGTGCTGGAGGTGGAGATGTGCCCCCTTTCCAGCAGCTGGCCCCGGAACACGTAAGGAGCCGGCCGCCTTCACCTCCCGCCCAGGGAGGTACCGAGTCCCCTCTGAAGGTACCTCAGGGCACACAGACTGTGTCTCCACACCACTGATGGGGGCCCGGAAGCCTTTTCTCTACCCTGAGTAAAACACGTTGGCTTAAATCAGCTAATACTATGSAAAATCCTTCGGAAAGCAGGGCGATTTGTAGTTTCTAAATAAATTGGTGTGTGAGTTTAAACAACATCTAGACCGAAGGGACGATTCACTCTCAGTGTTCGTGTGATTGCAACTCGTCACACAAATGGAGCAGCCCTGGGTCCTCCCAGCCCGCGTGGCCCCTTGTTGCTGTTATCTTTGAAAACCCTTTGAATGTTTTCCCCATTTCATTCCTGTAGGTGATTGATGGTTCTCTATATATTCACATTCTATTAATTCACAGTGTGGATGAGCAGTTGTATTAATGACCTTATCCCTTATGTGAAAATTGAAATTTTATTTATTATTTTTTGGAACGTTGGGCTAATTGGTATAAGTTGATCACATTTTAATAATTTACATCATGATTGGGATCCGCTGTCTTGCTTTGAACTGTTGCACAATTCTATTAGGTCTGGCAAAGTGATAGCTCGTGTATCTGAAACAGAAAAAATAGAGGAATCTGGAGGAGGAAAGATAATTTGAAATATGTAAATTCTTTTCCTCTTCCCTTTTATCTTCTGACTATGAGGTTGCATTTATTCCTAGAATTAATTTGTGCCTTCAAACTAACCTCTATTCAGTTATGATACCAGAATGAACAATTCCTTTCAGTCCTGTTTACTCACATGTAAAATGATTCTGCCTGAGTTAGTATTAGGGCAAGAGCATGTGGGAGATATGTCTCTCCTCTGGCTTAGCAGCCTAATGACAATTTTAACTGATGAGGGTTTTTCAAGTTGTCCAGAGTCTCTCCTACTCTTCAAAATGACATTGAGTGAAGCAACATAACAGGATTTGAGTAAGGTCATGGTTTCCATAGAAAGGATGTATAAACCTGTTGTTGATATATGCTGATTGCAATTGAGATAGCATATTTGACTTTCTTTTTTTATAATTATCATGTGAAAATGGTAATTTTAACCTTTTTTTTTGTATTTATTGTAACTATATAAACATTTCCAATTACATTTTTCCCATCAGATATCTGTATCAGGCCTATTTTTTTTTCATTTCAGTTTAAACAGATCAGGTATTTCTCAATATTAGGTTGAAGCAGAAAGTGTTACAGCATTTAGCAGACGAGGTTTTGCATTTTTACTTTGGATAATAGGCTAGAAAATCAGGGGGGAGTGGCTGAAGGGGTGCCAGCCATCTATCTTCTGCTACTCTGTGAAATTTCATAACTGCAGAACAGAAGAAGGGCTTTCCCTACAGCTGGTCTATCTGCTGCACCTCTGCTTTTAAGGGAAATAGTAGTTTATGTTCATCATTAAAGACCAGTATCATAATATATGGGTGAGAGTGACAGATAAGCTTTAAAAAACCCCTACTTCTGGCATTTCCTAACTCCAAATTGCTTAGTTAGGTAACTCTCTGTTTCTTTGATGACACGAGATAAATCAACTTGATTCATAACCCAGCCATTAGTTCATGAATATAACACCCATGGACAACTTCTTCCAACTTTTTATTCTACTTCTCTTTGTTCTTTCTTTTGTACTTYATTCTAAATTATCTGATATGGTTTAGATGGACTGAATCTGTAATGGGATTTCTTAAGTTTCTCTTATAATGTGACGTTTTTATTTTTTGATTTTAGGTGAATGTAAAAATTTGCAAGATTTAAATCTCTCTGAATGCCAGGGATTAAATGTAAGTATAATAAACTTTCTCTGCAGTATTTAATTTATAGGAAGAAGGAATATTTTCTGAAATTCTTTGGGGATTTTAATACACAAATCATACCGATGTAAAGGGAAATTGTGTTCCTAACTAATTAGTTGTATTTGGCAATGTTACTACAGAGCTTAATAAGATCGGAGCTACTAAGTTAGACTAAGTATAAAGTTGTCAGGATAAGTACGTTTTAAGCCTGTGATGTCTCCAAGTTCCTTTATTGCTTCATTCAAYAGAACTAGACTTAGCCTCTCAAAATATCTACATTTCTGGATATTTGTGAGACTCTTTATGTGAAAGATGTGTAAGGATTATAAAATCACCATTATATTCTATCCATTCTTTTTCCTAAAACACTTCAATATTTTCTTACTTCTCTTAGCTTTTTCTGATTTTTTTCTATAGCTGTTCTCTGATTAAATTTAACTGCTTTAATAAATCATTTCTTAGAAATGACACTGATATATACATTTTTTTCTAGTAATTAAAATAAAAATCAAAGATTTTGAAACATTGTAGTTCTTAACAGAGTAACATAATAATCTGTGTATGGACTTCCTATAGTGTTAAATATATGAACAAGTGATTTGATGTAGTTCAGTTGTCTTTGGAGCAAATTGTATGTTCAAAGCATAGCCCAGAAATAAAGCAATGAATCCACACAGGGTTTAAGAATTACTGAGAATTCACTAMAGCTCATGAACTTCACATAAAAATGACTTAGGATGGTGGGTTTAAAGCGGTGAGAACACAGATTTAGAAAGTTAAGAACGACAAAAGAGTTGTAAAGTTCTAATTTATAATACTCAGTTTTGGTACTGCTTTACATTTATCTTTGTCTCTTTGCTATGTTGATGTTGTCTTTATTTTCTTGTTCTCACCCTGTTTTCACAGTTAATGCAATTTTGCTTGCTGTATAAGCTACAAGGAAAGGATAAGCCTTTATCATATATATGAGCTCCATTGAATACCATYGTAGAATTCTCTTTATACTAGGTGATCTTCTTTCAGGCTTTTCACATGTAATATTTACTACATGAAATTATTTTGGCCGGATACTATTTAGAGGCTATGAGCTTCTCCAGGATCTTGTTGGTTGTAAGTTCCCACGTCAAGACAATAAATTAAAGAGGACTAGGGCTTGCCAAATTGTAAAGACTCAAACACTGTTACRTGATTGTCCATTCTGTTTGACTTTGCTGCTGAATAGTAGCAAAGTAGACAAAAGATACTTAACTGGTCAGGACACTTAACTTGCATAGGACTTGTAAGTAAACAAAGAAAATCTGACATCTCTGATGTAAGTGAAAAGATAAAAAGCATATTCTTGTTATACATATGTCCCAAATCTGCTTCTTTTATCTCCTATTGGTATTATAAGGTGTAAATGGGGGTCAAGGGCAACCATATGTCAAAAAAAAAGGTTACAAAAGGTAGCAATATAAAAGCCTACCAGAAAAAAAATCTGAGGGGTACATGAAAAATAAAATGACAATTGAGCTCAATCTTCCTTGCTTTATGTCTTTATTAAAAAAAAAAAAAAATGAAATTTGCCTAAATGTAAACATTTTTAGAGATGTATCAAAGGTCTGATTAAACTCTTGCTAAGTAGGTGGTCAAATAGTTTAGATGCATCACTCCCTAAAAATGKTTTTTTCTTTCTATTAACTATAGCTAGGCAGGTATGTCCACGATGTAGATCTATTCTGTATGTCTGAAATTTAGTGATGTTGATCTTACTCCAGGTATTTCAGCCAGTTAATTTTCATCCAGAACAGTTCAGAGTGTATTTAATTAGCTCAGATGCACACAAATTTGGCAGAGCTTAATACCATTCTTCATTACTGAAAGGACTAAACAAATTTCATCAATGTATAAGCATCCACTTAGATAAAAAGAATGTCCAGCATAGGTTTGCCAAGGATAGATTAGATAAGCAGTTATCAAAGTCTGTTGTGTTTTTCCAAACTCAGTTTGGGGTATGGACTAAGATGCTTTGCAAATCACCTTGCTGAAGCTGATTCACATTCTGTAACGTATTGAGGGCATATCATTTAGGATGTCTTTTAAAGGGCTACCTGAAGTTTCTTAAGTTTACTTTCTTATAATTAAATCCAGTCCTYACTTTGACAAGATCATGATTTCCTATTTTCATCCAGTTTTCCTCTTTTCTGTGAAGTCTCATAAATATTTTAGTGAGCTGTCAGTATGATTTGGATTGAAAGGAACCTCTGGAAATTGTTTAGTTCAATCTCCCAGTCAGAGCAGATCCAGCTAGATCAGGTTGCTTATGACCTTGTCATAAATCCTGCTTCAGTTTAAGGTAAAAATAAAAGATAAAAGTTAAAAAAAAAAAGTCCAATAGATATAGAAAGAATTTTGGATGTGGGACTACTGGAGAGAGTCCAGTGCAGGGCTGCGAGACTGGTAGGGATCTGAAACATCTGCCCTGTGAGGAAAGGCTGAGAGAGCTGGGCCTGTTCAGCCCGGAGAACAGAAGGCTGAGGGGAGGGAGATGTGATCAGTTTGTGAAAATACCTCAAGGGAGGGAGTGAGGAGGATGGGGCCACTCTCTTTTCAGTGGTGGCCACGTAGCCACCAACAGAACTAGAGGAAATGACCACAAACTGAAGCTCCAAAAGCTCCACAGGAACTTAAGGAAAAATTGCTTAACAGTGAAGGTGCCMGAGCCCTGGCACAGGCTGCCCAGGGAGGCTGTGGAGTCTCCTTCTCTGGAGATCTTCCAAAGGCGCCTGGATGCCGCCCTGTGCCCCGTGCTCTGGGTGTCCCTGCTGGAGCAGGGGGTTGGACTGGATGTTCTCCAAAGAGAGATTCCAGCCTTCCCACCCTTCATGATTCCATGATTCTGTGATCATGTAGATGTACCCCAGCCGACTTTGGACCAGGTATTTTATGTTATACCAATAACACTGTGAACACGGCAACACAGAGTTAACCCACTCTAACTTCCTGAGTAAGTGTTTGGGTTTTGCAGCATGCACTACATCTTTTCACCTCTTATTGTAACTGCTCTAACTGAAGTGTGTCTAAATGAGTTGCATTCACATAACTGGATTTCGCTGTGGACATCTTAGCAGAAAAAAAAAAAAACAGCTGAACAACCATTTGATAATATTTTTAACTCCTGATTATTAGCAGAAATATGGTGTGTACTGAGAACTTGATGAAGTTCATCATTTTGGACCATTCATGGAGTCATTTGTATTGAAAGAGAGCTCTGCAGATCATTTAGTTCAGCGTCCCAGGGGAAGCAGATTCAGCTCAATCAGGCTGCTTATGACCTTGTCGTAAACAACCAAGTCCATGTAGCTTTGAGGATGGAGCTTGCTCAATCTGGGCAAATTGTTCCAGTGTTTGGCAACTCTTAGTATATTATTGGAATTCATTGTGTTGCAGCTTGTGTCTCCTGCATCTTATCCTGTAGCATTTCACTTTGAAGAAGGGTCTGGCTAAGTCTTTCCCATGCTCTCCCATTAGGAAATTTTCTCAGTCTCCATTGCATCTAACAATTTTGGTGGCCCTCCTCTGGACTTGCCAAAGAATGTCCATATCCAGAAGGATTTTTCTTCTGATTTAATAACTGATTTAAACTTTAGAAAACATGAGTTAATTCGAGATATAAATGCCCATATCTTTAGTGTACTGGAGAGTCCAAACCTGGACCCACCAGAGGGGAATAACCACTTGCCTTGACCCGCTGGGCACACTTTTGCCTAGTATGCAGTTAGTCTTCCTCTTCACAAGGACACGTGCTGCTTTCTGTTCCTCAGGAGATCCACTGGACTGAGTAGTGTATAGTGTATCCTTGAACTGAGATCTTGAAATTATCATTCTTCAAGGGAATTAAAGTAGTATAGTGCATCTCTTAATATTCTAGTAAGAGGTTTCCAGAAGAAAATCATTTTGTTATACAGCAATTAATATAATCTGTTCAGCTTTTATTTTCTTCTATTACTGTGTTTAAAAATTTCAAATCAATTAATGCAATTATGTTTTTATGTACTTCAAGAATTCTTTTTTTATTATTCAGGATGACTCAATGAGACTCATATCAGAAGGCTGTCCATCCCTGCTCTATTTAAATCTCTCATACACAGATATTACTAATGGAACACTGCGGCTGCTGTCAAGGTAAAATTAAGGAGAAATGTGAAAGTGCATTTGTTTTGTTTTTGAAGGAAACTTTGAGACATATATTGTTGCAATACTCCTTTTCAGAGATCTGAAGAATTCTGTCTGTTACAAAAAAAGTTATAAAATGGCCAATGTATTTTACTTAGATAGCAATTTCTTTCTCTTTCTCTCTCTCTTCTATAAATAAAAATATAAGCTGACCTACCATATGTATTTCCCAGAGTTTTCAAAAGAACACGCTAGTCCAAAATTTCTTTGGCATGTCCAATTGTTCATTATGGTACCAGACGTTCATAAATTAGATAAGTTCATAAAAAAATATTTTTGCAAGAGAGGGCTGTGGGTAGGTATATTGTCTGAGCCAAGTACTTGTGTGACATTTGCGAAAGACAGAACTATTCCAAACTCTTCCAAAAGGTTATTTGGAAGATCACTCTGCCAGTGCCAAAGAGTTTGTATTGTAGGTTTTATGTGAACTGGCCTTTCTGTTTTAGATGTATCCAACCATGAGAATCAAATACTACTTGGTAGGTAGAAAYACTATGTTAAAAGCTGCTGTAAGGGAAAGTGAGGCATCCTGATCGAGGCCAACAACCACCACAATAATATATGTAGTTTTCAAAGATACCTGTACATTGCTGCTCATTTCCATGAGGAAAACTAATGGCTTCCTTTTATCAGCATGCTCACAAAGTCCAGAAGCTTGTTTTTCTTTGGCATTTCCATGATATATTTTGATTTTTGGTTTTCTGTGTGCCATACCAGTACCTTTTTATGCCAGTCTATGGGGTTACATCCTCACTTTCCTAACAGTTTCTTTGGCAAAGTTTTCCATTTAATCTCTCCACCCTTAACATTCATTTCTTCTTCAATAGTATCCTCATCAGAATCTGTGTTTCCTCCATATTGGTAGGTATTTTTGTCTTCTTTAATTTTAATCTATTTCACTTGAAATGGCTGTACAGCAAGTAATCCCAGCCTTTTGTAGCTAGTTTACACTTCATTAATAATAAATTTTGCTAGACATAAATGATACTTTTGATCTAAACCCATGATATTTTAGCGTTTATTGAGAATTTTTGAACAAAAAGAAAAGCTGTCATTGTTTCTGGAATTAGCAGGATGTACAGAAAGTCCATATCCTATAAAGAATTTTATAGCAGACACATTTACATGCCTTTATAACAGCTTACCACAGGTCCAGTATAAATAAGGCAACTAGTACAAAATGCTTAAAGGTGGCAGTATTGCATTTTTGTAGCATTGCAAGTAAGTGTTACCATTATATATTACATGCCCATTCCTGGAACAACTTAATAGTGACATAGAGATTAGGTGAGCTGAAAGCCTTTTGGTCATTTTGAATTTTCCCATTCTTCTCTTCCATGCAAATATTTCAACCTGTATACTACACAGAAGAGTTCATCAGAAATGAAAAGTTCTGATGTTTAGTGTAGACATGAGGAACTGTAAGAAAGTGCTTTTGTCAAATTACTTTAAAACAGTAGTGCAGTGAGTGCCAAATCCATTGCACAGAATTCCTGCAGAGTTTAGGTGYGACACAAAACAAGGATTTATAGCAACCTGTGTGATCATGGGTCAGTTTTAAGAAAGCTGCCACTTTAAGAAAGGCAGAAGAAATCGTGTATTAAAATTCACAGATCATAAAAAAGGGTCACGTGACACGTGAGGAAAATCAGTCTATTTTCAAGAATTGTGGAAGGTTTTGATCAGTCTTCACACTGCAGAAAGAAGGATTTCCCTATATCTTGTCTTAAGTTGTTTAACCCTGTACAGTTTAGAAAGACTTAAAAGCAACAGTTTTAAAAACAAGGTCTTAATTTACTGCCTGCTTTGAGAGCACTGTTTGGAAGCATCCGCTCCCTGGCTTTCATTCTCTCCACTCCACTCGAATGTGTCACTAAATGTAAGAAAATTTGTGCTTCTGCAAAGCAGCCTACTTATATTTCTGTACTAAATGCCAAAGAACCGTTTTCATTAAAAAATTGCATGCCCTTTTATTCTAATATCTCTTTTGGATGACCATTGCCTTTCTTCCTTGCTTTTTTTTTCCCCATCAATTACCATCTTAAGTTGCTTTTGCATGTGTGGCTAATACTTTTCTAAGTAGTGATTTTGTCCCGTTTCCTAACTCTCTCCTTTTTTTTTTCCCCATGTTGAGTCCAAGCTAGCACGTTTCCCCCCTCAGTACTGCAAGTACAAAGTCAGCTCTGAAAACTTATGCCACTCCTTAAGCGGTCAAGTTCTCCGYGGTTGTTCCTGCCTTTCTTCAAAATGCCTGCTGGGCTGCCTTGTAAAACTCCACGACTGTGTCCCTACAACTGAATGCCTACCCGTATGTCCTAATTACAGGTTTTGATGGTCTCTGTGCTTTCGTTTGTGCTGCTTGTGGCATTGCAGTAATTCTTTATTCCAGTTAGAAACTTCGTTCTCTGAAATGTTTTCAATATGTTATAAACTGTATCTGCAGATAGAAACTTAAGGAGATCAGAGTGTAAGTTCTGAACTTTTATAGCGTGCTTAGATGTWCAGTGCCATGACTATTTATACAATTTTCTTTCTTTTGACTAATATTTAGTATCAATAAAGGATTTTTTTCTGTTTTAATAAACTTTATGAAACATGGGTTAATTGGAGATATAAATATATACTTCACTTTTTTCTCACCTTCAGTTTTTTGGTTTTCTTTTAATAGCACTTGTCTAAATAATTACATGACTGGTGAATGTCTAACTCTACGTTTATGCTTTTAACGTCCTTTGATAGAGTTCTGGTTTTCATTTCCAGCAGGCACTGCTTGTAAATCAATGGCAAAGTCAGTCCAGCAAGCTCACACTGAAGAGTCTATTCATTTTCAAAAAGTATGCAGACAGAATCCCAGTTAATTAAAAAAGTGTCCTCTTGCAGTTATCTGAGATCTCTTTAAAATCATATTCTTTTAATCAAAGTAAATCAAATGCATTATAGTACAATTCCTCAGTTATTTGCAATACATGAAACAAGGGGAAAAGTGCAGCAGAAAAAGAATCTTTCAAACCTCAGCAAGAAGAGAATCCTATTTAACACCCAACATTATTCCTTTACATTAATTTTCAAATCATTTCAGCTACGATTTCTTATTTTTGTTTGATTCTGCAGCATACTTTTGCACTAATTTGTTCTCTATCTTGTGTTTTTTTTTTTTTTTTTTTTTGCAAAGGAGCTTCCCCAATTTACAGTATCTGAGTTTAGCTCACTGCAGAAAATTCACAGACAAAGGTTTACAGTACCTGGGCTGTGGAAGAGGATGTCACAAGCTCATCTATTTGGACCTTTCAGGTTGCATTCAGGTTGGCACTTCATGGCTTGCTTTCCTTCTTTGAAGAAGAGACTCCTTTATGAGACTGCCTGCAGCCTGCATTCATGGTATACTGCAGGAGTACAAGCTCTGCAGCAGACCTTTGAGGGTTTTGAATTACATGACTACAGCTGTTTAAATTATACTGAGAAATAATAGCACTATAGGCTTGGATCGTTTCCAGCAAACTGTCAGCTGTTTGAACAACTAGTACTTACTGCATAATGAAAACAGGGCTGGCTTTGGAGCCATAAATAGACTAATTCTATCTCATGATTAGTTAGAATTTTGAATTAGGCACTTGGAAAGGGGAGTTTTTACTGAAATACCAAAACCCAGAAGCCACTATACACTGGAGAAAGCAAATTTATACCTCATTTACTGTAAAAGAAATAAATTAAATAGCAACCTTGTGTTTCAATTTTCATTATTTAAAATGTAATTTAAAGTATTTTATAAAACTGCAATCTAAAAATAGTTAATGTTTTGGATTATTTATTTTACTGTCCTGTTAAAATTTTGAAAAAAAAACCCAAAGTTTTTACAATCTAATACTATTTTAGAAAGTTTCAAGCATACATGRTATCTGGAACCATATTTCAAACGCAATATAAAATGCTAGACAGTTCAGCAATAACAGTCAGTGAATGTTTTAACAAAGGGCTCCCACACATTTTCCTTTACTAACTGAGAGTATTCTCCAAGCTATAAAATGCATGTGAAATGATAAAGAGATGGGGCCTAAGGATTCTGATGGTTTAATTTTCCATCTAACCYAACCTTTCTGGAGTCAGGGATGAAGGCAGATAAGGAGCAGTCTTGTTCTACCCGCTCTTTGCACCAAGAGCCTGTTCCTGAGAATCATGCTGCAAAGATTGGAAGTATTGTGCAGAAATTTGAAAAGAGGGCTGAGATTAGTGCAGTTAGGAACTACCTCTGAGTTCTTTTTTCAAAATATCCATAATTTTTTTTATTGCAAAAGCAACATTCCTGCTTGTTCCAAAGTGTGATTATGAGCTGCAAGGATTTGCCTCTACAAAGCATGATCTAACACTAGGGAAAAGCAATCATCATCACACAGGAAAACCACAGTCCTCCCTTTTCCAGAGGAGTGTAGTGGTTTTGCTCATCAGCATATTTGAAAAATCTGGGAGGCTTTCCACAGTTTTCTCCATTTTGTGTTTCCCTTGAATTTGAAATAGTGCTTAATGGCCACGACTGAGTACTTAAGTAAACAATTAAAACCAAAAAGAGCATCAAATTGCATAGTGCTGCAGAAAGTGTGTTAACAGGCCAGAATTCCTTCTCTTTTCCTCATTGAATGAGCTTACTCAAAGGGAACATTATAAGGCTAAGGCTGCAGGATTAGTGAGAGAAATATGGTGAAATTATAGTATAAGTATTTAAATTATGCTAAACAATTTCCACTAGCAGCCTATTCTCCCCTTCCTTTAACWTTATAGTTCTTTTTAGATGAGGACATATGTTGCCGGTGGAACTGTAGTTCCACTTTGAACACCTATTTAGGAAATTTATCTGTCATTTGGGTGATTGTGCTCATGATTTTAGAAGTGGAAACTTTAGGGCCAGAACTCTTAAATACTCAGGCAGAAAAGTAGAAAATGAGCACATAGTTTGTAGCCCATACACTGTTGTAGATCATAGAAGACAGTCTTTCCTCTACTTGAGTATCTCGTTGTTTCAGGATAGTAATAGCAAATGAATTATACATGTGAATCTTTTGTATGAAATTTCAGTAATTAAGGTTGGATCCCTATAGCATGGATAGGAAAGATTTTTATGGAAGGATTTTATGGTATTTTCTATAATACCATGATTGTATTACATCCTGCTCAAAATTGCTATTACACCACTACTATTCTCACAGAATTCTCTATAAAGCATTAGATCTCTTCTCTGTGCTGCTTCTGAAATTGAATGTTATGGGTGGATTCCTTCCTACTGTTTGACACAAAACAGCAGAGATTGAGGAGTGGAAAGTACTTGCATGTCATTTATTGACAGACTACATTGAGGCTATAGAACTAAAAAAAGAGATTATGGTGAGATATACTTTCATTTAAATCAGAAGTATGAAACTTTTCAAATAAATTGGATCTTTTGGGATGTGCCAAGATCTATGGCCTACTGATTTCAGACTGGAGCTACTCTGGCCCAAAGAACAGCCCATCTATTGCTGTAGCTTGCAACAGCTGGCTATGATTCTGAAGAGAGCAGAAGCTGGTAATTACTGGGACATAATAAAYATGACCCTTTCCTCCTTTGACATGATGCACTCGTGGGATCCCAGAGGAGCTCCTGGCAAATGGGGAGGCTGCACCAGCATCCCCCATCTGAGAGCTCCTCCAGCTCTGGCTCCATGGCCAGAGTTGTCTTGTTGGCAGCTGCTGTCAAATTCTGGCCTCTTAACACATATCAAGCAGCCSAAAGGACAGAAAATCTGAGCTATGTTGAAGCAATCGTTTACAGTTCCCAATTGCAAACTCATGTAACTGAGGAGTACTTTATTATAAGATACTCCTGTGCTAATCTGTATTTTTAGCATGCAGTTAAGAAATAAAATAGTAATTTATGCTTTAGAGTGTGAACTTCTCCTAAACAAATAATTATGTTTTAAATRGGTTCATTGCAGTGACTTCTCATCCTTTACAGGAAATGAAAGAGCGCATTTATAGAATGGTCTTATTCAGTTATGCAGCTGTTCTGTAGAATTTGATGGGGTCCAAGACTCGTAATGACCTTCAGAGCATCCTGCTTCACAATTGGTTGAAGAAGGAGGTTTAAGCAGTATTTTGTTGATCTGGGGGAAAAAAAAAAAAAAAAAAAAGTAATATTCCCTTCTATAGGTCTTTTGATTTTGATTTTCTGGGTAAGTAGCCTCTTGAGGCAATTATGCAATGGACTGAAATTCCACATGGGCTGAGCAGGCAGTTGTTTAATGAAAACATATGGAAAATTCTGTGTTTCTACACTTCATGTCCAGGAGTGCCCGAAGCGTGCCTAAAAAATCAGTGGGGCTTTAGAAAAGAAACACTGTTCCTTTAAAGCTAAAATGAAATTAAAAGCAATCTGTAGAGTGGTATTATTGGCTGCTTTGGGTTTATTTTTTGGCTCTCATGCAGTGAAACACTAAGTTGCAGCTATTTGTGGTGTCAGATTGCTTTGTTAAGCAAACAGTGTTTTTCCAGAGAAAGATATTAAAAGTCCTTTAAATTGCAGTTAACTTTACTGCAATCCTTACTTCATCCCAGAAGAAGATATGCTTCTTCTACCTCTAAGCATTGTGGAGGGTGATCTAATTACATGCCACCTACTATCTAACCTTTTTAAAAGTGGGATCCCAYTTAATTTTAGGCATCCAACATAAGCTAATGCCTACAAACTACCTTCATTTTTCTATGTAAGAATTCCCTGTTAACTGTAATTCCTCGTCAGCACTTACCTGAACCTGTTGATCCCCAAATTTTGATCTCACAGTTCAGGATAATGGCTAACATTTTCAAAACAAGGGCCTAAAGCAGGGCTTCTCAATCTGCTTTTGTTCTWTTCGAAGACAGTGATATTTTCAGACATTATTCAGAACAATACAAAACYAAACCCAAGATGTAGTGCAACTAATGGTGTCCCTCATTTAAATGTATTTGCACCTGAATTTTAGTTGCCTGGACAGGAGRGATCTTTAATCCTGCTCTCTGTATTTGTGTATCTGTGGTACTCAAGTAGGTAGGTGCTCTTAACAGCTAACACAATTAGTAAAAAAAAATCAAAACAGAAGTCTGTAAGCCCCATACTTTCCTTTGATTAACAGTCATAGAAGTAGGTTCTAAAAAAAGAAAACATACTCATTATGGCATACTTTTGTTAAAATTAGTTCACGAGTGGAGCCTGCAAAGTTCACATTTGGAATCTATGTCTCACAGAGCACCATCCTTTTCTGCTACTTTGTGTCCATGGCCACACAGTGTATGGATTCTTCCTCTTAAGGCAGGACCATTTTTTGGTATCTAAAAAAGTTACAGTTAGCTTTTCTCCCCTTTATTTAAGAGAGGGAATCAACACAGGACACTATTTGAGATCTTTCAAGCTAATACTGAAAACCAGCATATTGCTGCTTCATACCGCTTGGTTGTGGAGCCTCCTGGATCTCCTCCCACTGTTGTTGTTGAGAAACTTGTTTCTCTAATCTATCCAAGCTGTGCCTTATATCCTTACTGTTGTTCTAAGCTCATTTTTCATCGCAGTTTGGCCTGAAATAGCTAAGTCCTATCTACAGACCTTCGTGCAGAATTACTGCTGTGCTGGAACGAGGCCCATGCCTGATAGCTGCGTGACCAGTCAGCTCTTCCAGGCATGTGCATTTGAGAACTGGGAATTTAAACTCCAGAATCTGTTGAAATAGGCCGTTCTCAGGTAGTTTTCCTGCCTGGTGATACTTGGCAGCTATTTGATGTCTAAAAGACATGCTAATAGATCAGGTTCTTATTATCACTGAAAGACAACCTTCTACTCTGAAAATCTTAGAAGTCACATCTCACAGACTCTCAGAAGCTTCATATAGACTGCAGGCACTGGGCTGGAGCACTGAAGACAGGATTACACTGTCCTGCACCTCCAGAAAGACCAGAATTATAGAGCATGGATGGCCACATCACACTTTGTCTTCAGACCTAGCACCCAGCTTTCCATGCCACTCCTCTACCTTCTGGTGGTCACTACCAGGTCGAAAAAAATATTGCCTTCATCATGGTAGCCCTTGTACTGGCTGTTCTGTAGCCATTAAGGCTGAGCCAGCCCTACCCCACCAGGATTTGGCTCTTTCCACTTCTCAGCGCTCTGTCTTTGCAATCTAGCTGCTTTCAGAGCAGCCTCATCCTGGGTTACACAGCTACATGGCATCAGGCTCGACCTTGCACCTGACAGAGGGTCTTTGATGGGACTTGCATCACTCCCTGTTGCCTATCAGATATTTCCTATGATTTTGTTATTTGTAGGGTTAGCACGCTCTCATTTTGCAGGCTGTTACAGATCACTGTAGGGAAAATGTTGGTGCTGCACTTGCTTTGAACTTAAAACATGGGATATTTTGCATCCACACTGCCCGAGCGCCAGTGTGTGCCCSACAGAGTGTGTGCAGATACTGGATATGGATGGTGCTTTCAAAATACTAGAATAATATGGACACCTGTTGGCCTTTTAATGGGATAAATCAAAACATTTCCTGATCAATGAGCATCTTGGTACAAATAATTTTAAATACCAAACATATCTCAAGTCATTTCTGTATATAGTTTTTCTTACAATTGCTGAGATATAAATGTTTTGTTTCTTCCTCAGGTTTCAGTTGATGGCTTCAGAAATATTGCCAATGGCTGCAGTAGGATTCAGAACTTGCTAATCAATGATATGCCAACTCTCACAGACAGATGTATTCAGGTAAGAAATTGAGAATAAATGTGTGTTTTGAGAACTTTTCTGATATTTGAGCTGGGTTATCCTCTCAACCAAATTTAAGGCAAGTTATACACTTGCATACAATTTAGGGAAAGACTTCTCTCCTAAGACACTTTCAAAAAGCTGCTATCTAATTATATTTACAAATCCTGTTAAGAGTCATTTTCAGAAACTTTCAAGTGTCTTTTCTTCTTTTCCCACATAACTATAACTGAAATAAGATCGGTTTATAAATGAGAGAAAACCTTTGTTTTTATGTGTTGTATATAATATATGGGAACAACAATCTGCTATTGATTACTGCACAGAATTCCCCATGCAGTAATTAGCTCTGCCTAAAATATGCAAAACTTAGTGGACCCATGGCATGGGAAAATTTTCTCAGACTACTGCAAAAGTAATTGTTAACTAGATTACAGGCTGATCACAGATGTCAGCTTTATTTCATGCCTCTAGTTGCTTACTTCTTTTTCTTGTGTTCCCAAAGATAATAAATACATACAGAATTTCAATTTTTTTTATTTAGTGCTGACTGTCTAGAAAATCTTGAAAATGATTATAACTTTGTAAGAAATTGTAACATTAGGTATTTTATACAGGACAATTTGTTGATTTTTTTGTTCTGTAGCATATCACAGTTATATGATTGTTGTTTCACCTTTTTCCCCTTAAAGGCTTTGGCTGAAAAATGCGAGCAGATTATGTCTGTTGTCTTTCTTGACTCCCCACATCTATCTGATATAACTTTCAGAGCTCTTGCTGAATGTAAACTGGTCAAGGTCAGCATTGAAGGTAAATATATCTAACAAAATTATTAGGACAGTACATTTTAAAAATCCATCCAATTCATTTGAAGCCAGGAAGAATCCTTTGGCTGATTTCAGTGGCTATTTGGATTGCGATCATAATGTGTCTAATCTGTAACTTGCATCTTTCTATATTTCAACAGGAAATAATCGAATTACTGATTTAAGTTTCAAGTGGATGAGTAAGTGCTGCCCGTACATCAGGCATATTCATATGGTTGATTGCCAGAAGATCACAGATGCTGGGCTGAAGATGATTGCACCGTTGAAGTATATTCTTATACTGAATTTAGCAGACTGCATAAGGTACTTAATCACATCCAGGTTTCTGTAAACCATTTTAAGGAATTTTGTTAATGATAGCTATATTCCTCCTAAGTTCTTTAGCACATCTTTCAGTTTTAAAAGTAAATTCTTTTAATGTTAATACATATGCCTCAGTATTAAAAAAAAAATTTTATGCCTGTAGCTTTTGGCTCCTATAACATATTGTCCAAAGTCCATTCATCGGTGAAGACAAACACTCTAAACATTTAAAAACAATACACCTGTAATATCATAATAATCATGAAATACCCTGTATAATAATATAATATTTATATATATATATAAATATAATATAATAATCATGAAATAACCTGTAATATCATAATAATAATCAAAGGCTGAGAGAGCTGGGCCTGTTCAGCCTGGAGAAGAGGAGGCTGAGGGGGGACCTGATCAGTGTGTATAAATACCTCAAGGGAGGCAGTGAGGAGGAGGGGGSCGGCCTCTTTTCAGTGGTGGCCACCGACAGGACTAGAGGAAATGGCTTCAAACTGAAGCATCGGAAGTTCCACAGGAACTTCCACAGGAAGCATTTCTTCACTGTGAGGGTGACAAAGCACTGGAACAGGCTGCCCAGAGAGGTTGTGGAGTCTCCTTCTTTGGAGATCTTTAAAACCCGCTTGGATGCAGCCCTGTGCCACGTGCTCTAGGTGACCCTGCGTGTGCAGGGGGGTTGGACTCAATGACCTCTGAGGTCCCTTCCAACCTTGGGCATTCTATGAATATAGTACAAGGCAGCTAGAATCACTGCTTATCTTAAAATTTCTGAGGTCTTACTGTGTTCTAGGGATTCTGCATTCATATATAGCTAAACTAGTTTTTGTTCTTCTTGATAAAGATGTGATAACGTTTCTCATAAATGCGCTGAGAAGTCCTGGAGTAGCAGCCATCATGGTGGTGGTTGAGGTGTGCGTTTGGGACAGCTGCCTGAATTCTCTGGTTTAACATTTAGATAGCTGGATTTTCCAGTCTGCGAGCCAAGCGTATGAGGGTGCATTTGTACATGTGTCCACTGTCTGAAATGCTGAATAACTGCTGAATTCCCTTAACAAAACTTTCAAAGCAATTATATAGCTCTTGTAAAAGTCTGTACTATTTTGTAATACTTTGGCAGACCTTTGCAAAAGCTGCAGCCTTAGCAAATTTGTAGATTGTGACAAATCTAAATCTTCTAAAATAGCTCACAAGAAAAGACATGCACACATGAAAAGCAATGATATGCAATGGATTAAGTGAAACACTTTGAGAAAGGAGTCAGGTTAACTCCTCAGTCCATGYATATATGCAGAACAGCTACTACCTACATATGCAACATATCTCTCTTGCTTGTGTGTTAGAAAATAATTTTTCTTTTAAATTATTTGCTTAAAGAAGACATTCATACAAATATTACTCTGAAATGTTTAAACAGGTTTTGGTATTTTCTAGATATATTTTCCATGCTCTGTATTTTGAGGTTTTACCACTTCTTCAAGGATTGCATTTTAGTGGAAGTTCTCATAATCCCCAGTAGACCATTTTTCAGAAGATTCTGATTTCAGCACTTGCAAAGAGTATCTTTCTGATAGAACTGTTAATTCTTCTGATGCCATTTTGGTTTTTAAATACAATTTCTGAATATGACAGTATTATTTCCCCCCTGTCTGCAATGTAGTCTGCTGAATCAAATTTATATTCCACTCTAGGCAGTATGAAAAAATGCATGCTTTGAATTTGAGTATCACTTCTATTTCTGTTTTAGAATTGGTGATGGAGGTATAAAGCCATTTGTAGAAGGTTCTTCAGGTGCTACCCTAAGAGAACTGAATTTGAATAATTGTGTTCGTGTCACTGATGCTTCTGTCATAGAAATAGCACAAAGGTACCTAGTCCAGTACCGTATTCTGGTGTAAGTAGTTGATAGGCTTTTCATATATTCATACATTCATATCTTTAATGTTATAGTTCTCAATATGTTAACAAATGCGTAAAAGTCATACAGAAAATTGTACTAGATTAATTTTAGGCTTTTTTGGCCCTACAAATCTATTAAAATACTCCATCATATGAAAAGGATTATTAAAGTCTGCCCATAGTAGTCAACACCTGTAGCCAGCTAACCTATACATTGGGAAATACCTTCTCTATCTTACTGATGGATCACATCTTACTGATGGATCACATACCTCTTTCATGTATGCGTATCTTTGGGTGGCACACTGGCTGAATTAACGGTTTACTGCTCATTTAAATGCCAGGAGAGTTATTTTGATTGTTTATAAAATAAGTTTCTAATTCCTTTTTTTTTCTTATAAAGCATCTACCCACCAATGAGAAGGATTTAACATAGTGTCGCTCATGGAAAAGATGTGGAATCACATTTTACAAGAATTATGTAGGACTTAATAGATTTCACGTCTACTTCAGAAGAAGATTTAGCAAATCCAAAATGACCTAATAAAATGACCTAATATATGAGCTAATGTAATTCGGAAGTCATATATTTGAAGTACAAAGAAAAATGGTTTTCCTCTACTGAAACACTGAATACTCAAATTGATTATTTGATTTTTGAAACTTTTTACATGACTTTCTACATGAGTTTATGACATTAATGTGTAATGACTTACACATTACACTTACACAAAATAGTACCAGAGAAGGAATTTTCTAAAATTTTAATTTATTCTTTTCTACCTAGAACTCAACACAAATTGCTGCAATATTGGTTCAGAAAATCCTAAGTATTTGATCATACTGATAGAGCGTTCCCTTAACCACTGTGTTCTACCCTTAATCTGTATCCTGAACACAGATCCATTGTTGAGGAATCATGTTTCTGGGCTCTTCTGCTTCAGTTATGGAAATATATGATTGCTGTTCATGGTTTGTAATATTTGTAACGCTTTCCCGTTATGAGTGTAATCTTCAGGAGTGCCTATGTAAGCTAGRTGTCAAAAATATATGTAAAAAATAAATACAGCATAATTCTGTGGGATGAAAGTGCCTATTTTCATAGATCTCCCGAAAATAACTCAGTTATTCTGCAATAACTTATATTTCCTGCGCTGCATTTCCATAACAGAAGTAGAAAGCTGACATTTCTGTTTCTTATTTAATTTAGATGTCACAATTTGACCTACCTAAACCTACGTTACTGTGAAAACGTGACTGATACCGGACTTGAAGCTTTAGGAAATATGTCCTCCTTGATATCCATTGACATCTCTGGAACCAGCATCTCAGATATGGTATAAATATGCTAAAAGAATAATAAATGTGTTTATTACTATCTAGACTTTCTGAAAAGAATACAAATAAAATCCATTTATTTAAAAAGCTGCAAGAATATAAATCAGTGGAGCTGCAATATTATTAAAACATATTTTACAAATATCTATAATACTATATTGATCTATATGTTATCAGTACCCAATAAAAGTTCATTCTCACACTGAACAATATTCAAATTGGACAGTTCTCAGCTTAGAAGTTGGCAAAAGGAGAGAGTTTGGCTGCTGTGAAAGTGAKATGGAAAAAAAATGGAAATAGAAATCTTTTCCTCCAGGATGATTGGGCCTGATGAAAACTGAAGGACTGATATTTTGAAATGTTAAATTTGTAAGAAAGGATGTTTTTCCATGAAATGGATTTTGAGGAGAAGCCTCTAGTGGAGGCASTGTTTTATACCGAGTCTAAGACATAATTGCTAGTGAAAGCAGTGCTGACAAGGTGCCTTCACAGGGTCACGTCGCTAAGACCCTGGAAAGGGCCTTAATGCCAGGGAAAGTGCCAGGTTCAACCTCGCAGCCTCCACATGAGATGTTCTTGGCAGTGCTTTGTGCACAGCAGGCACAGCCAGATCTGCTGTTCCTTTTACATTTGAGGCAGCCTCTTCTCGCCAAACACAGAAATCCGGGAGAAACTTCATGAAGAAAACTATTGTCATATAGAATATTTTCCAGTCACTCTTCTAACAGAATTCTAACCAGGAGCTTCSTTATTTGGCTCTAGCATAGACTTTGTTCAACATCATTAAAAAGCCTTTATCCTTCATGGAGGCCTAAAAATAACAAGTGAAATTAAGTTAAAATAAAAGAGATAGGAAAACAAAAAGAATTTAACTTTTAATGTATTTAAAATATCATAAAATCATTGTTGATTCCATTTCAGAATTTTTTTTGAGTGAAACTTATAGCATGAAGTATTAGAATTCCATTAAAATTCCACAATATTTCAGTGTAAATTTTTTATTTTCCATTTGTCTGCCACAGCTACTCTTTTAAAACACTGTATTGCTTCTTCTTGCAGTTTTCATACAGCACAACCCATGCCCTTGGCAACAATCCAGGTGCTTTTGCTTATGCTGCTTTTTTAAGGCATTTTCTTCTCTCACACAAAGCAGATAAATTAACCCAGTAGATCGACTACTAATCAATCTCATAATTTTCAGTTTATTTGCTGGTATTGTCTGCAATACTGACATTTTTACTGCGCTTAAGTATCTAATGTTCACATGTGCATAATAATAAGTACATTTTTAAATGTTAAGGCATCTTTGAAGAAAGGAAATCTTTATAATTTTTTATAATTAATTACTAGCCACTTTTTTTGTGTTGTGACTTTATTTTTATGTATTTTATTAACATATAAATGAAGTTTATTTAGTGTGCCTTCCAATTCAGTCTTTGTAAACACTGTGACCAAATTGCTCTTAAGAGCATAGTAGAGAACCCAGAGCTTACATGCAATAATCAGTACAATTATCTTGTGCTGATGAGAAACTATAATGTCCATGTGTTCTCCAGCAGCCTGTGTGTCAGATTTCTCTTGCTTTTGCTGTCCTGCTATTTGGAGTTCAGCATTTGTGAAGTTCAGAAAGTGTCTTATCCATCAAGATCAAAGACTATTGATTAAGAAAGGCAAATATCCATAATGACAGTCTCAAGGAAGTATCTGATCTTTTCCAGCTGTTTTTAATGCCAGTTTCCTGACTGCAGTATTGCCTCCCCRTATCTGCTCTTCTATCTTTCTTTATCTTTTGTTTTTGTAGGATGTCAGAATTTAAGTTATTTTTCTTCTGCGTGTATGCAGGCCTTAAGCACTTCATGCAAATGTAAGCCATAGCTTAGCATTCTTCCATATAGGCTTTCCATTAAAACAAATGACAGGATATTTGATATAACTAGTTTAAGAATATTTAAGCCCTAGGATATGCAAACAGTCTCTGAAAATATTAAGATATATTCATATCTACAAAGTCTATATATAATTCTCATCCTTTTAGTTTACATTTCAAAAATATTTCATTCTTTATTAAAACCTGAAAATATTTTGAAAAACAATACACATTATAAAGTCTCAGTAATAGTTACTTTGTTGTTATTATTAACTATGACAGTTATTCTATTTTTATCATTCCCTAAATACTAGAAGTATGTTTCTTAGGATTAGTCTTCTCTTTTAGAGACTTTGTTAGTGAGATGTAGAAATACAAGATTTGCAACCTTAGCTATATTCTTCTTTTTAAAACAAGCACACAATGATGTGCAAGAATATATACTAATTTGAAAGAATTGAATTGAAAGAGATGTTTCCCTTTTTTCCACCTATTTTCCCACTCCTCATTGCTTTCTTTTACCTTTTGCTCTTTTAAACTCCTTGGAATGGAGACTATAGAGTTTGGAAGGTTAGACTGTGAACATTGAAAGCATTTCTATGAATAATAAGTAATATTGTAATTAGAAAACATTTTGATATCGTTACAAAGACATAAAACATCAGCAAGGTTTTTAAACATCTGTTACACATAGGGCCAARACCTATATGCCTTTCTTATAAAAGCAGTCCCAGGGCCTGGGAATTGCTGCTTGCATGCATTAGAGCTTCAGTATAGAAGCTATGTGCAGTAACTAGAGCTGTGGCTTTGGCAACTTTGCTGCAAGTTCTTTGCTGAGGGAATCTGGAGATGTGAAGCTGCTTAGCAAGCCCCATTCTGACCCCAATTGCTAACACATACGGCCTGGACCACCCAGCTGCAGGGGATGTAAAAACTTATTTATTTATAGAAATGTTGGGACATATAAAGAAAGTGTCTGGAGTCAAGTAGGGTCCAGACAGAAAAAGCAAAGCCAGAAACAGTTAAAGTAAATCTGGGGACTCCTGAGCTACATATACACCCTAGCAATAAAAACAAAAGACCAATTATACCCAGTATAGACTCTAGGAAACTTACATTAAGATCAGTGGTGAATTGTGTACAGTATACTAATGAGAGAGAATAAACTGGCCTAAATCATAAAAACGGTAAAATATTTTAAAAACTAAAAGAATCCTGATATACTTTTAAAAATAAATAGAATCTATGAAGATTTTTTTTTTTTTGCCACGGTTGACATTTTCTTCCACAACAGCTCCCAGGCATGAAATTCTTTCGTTTGCTATAATTTAAGGCCCCATTCTGTTTTTTGGCTCAAATGCCTCCTGAAGAATGATCTGTGACATCAAGCATGCAGATAGGCCTGCATGCTGGCTACGTGGTTCTCCTTAAGCTAAGGATAATTTGTACTCATTAGGAATGTTGCAGTAGAGGTTCTATAGATATATACAGTCCTGCTTTCTCTTATTATGTGTTTGTACACAGTGATTCTGTGATCCTGGCTGGCCAGGCTAGAAGATAAATATTCCCTAGTATTTTAATAATAGGCTGCTAAGTGGATAACAGGAAAAAAAAAGAATATATATGTATATATATTTAAAATATGTTTTGGCTTCACAGAGTTAGCCAGGGTAAAAGTGCTTTGTGCCATCAAAGGATTCCAGGTTTTTGGTAACTTCAGTCCAAAGTCTGGTGCCACATTTTGATATTATAAAATTAGACTGGGAGGACTGAGGAAAAGCTTTGTAAAAGATGGGAAGAAAAAGCATTAGCAGATCTACTAGGCATAACCAGCAAGAGACTGTAAAATTTGATTTTCAAAGAAAAGTAAGTGACAAATTACACACATTTCCAAGGCAGGGAAGAGGAAATAGTAAAATACATTGAGTGCAAACTAAATTCTGTCCAATTTACTTAAGGGAATAGCAAAAGAGAGAATGTGGCGTGAAGACCTTGAAGCTTAGGGCACAGAAATAGGAAATATTGGTACATAGACATTAGAGCTGGTGACAGATGTGCTAATACCTTGATTCACAGCTCAAATCAACAGCAATTAAAAGTAGTCAGGATATTGAAAATTGTGCTCAATTTTCTGGAGAACATTTTGTTGCAGTAGAAGCTGTGCTGTCTGAGCTTAGTATCAAGAAATATCCCCAACTGCCTTTCATTATTTCTCATCTGGTCTAGCCACAAAGGGGTAGGTGTAGGAACTGCACAGGCACGCATTGCACAGGAAGTCATGCTGGGGATTTCAGTACTGAGAAAAGAATTTAAAAYAAAGGCTTGTAAAAAGTCTTTTTAAAGAAGTCTGACCAACTTTTTCATGAGCTCAGGTGTTGGTAGCTGCATATCTGGTGTCATCCTTRTGGAGTATTTGCTTAAGGGCTTCCCAATTTCCCTGAAAGGTCTTTGCTATCTGAAATTCAGCTTTTTTCTGACATGTGTGTGTTGTCATTAGCGTCTGTTCTAGCTGGGGTAAAACCAGTTTTGGGTAGGTCTGAGTGGGTTGCAGTTATGCCCTTGATGACAGCACTTGCTSAGACAGTCCTTACGGATCACTCTAGCCTTGGCTTGCTGCTCTGCTTTGGAAACCAGGCTTCTCCTTCAAGTACTTACAGGTGCCTTCACTTTGTGGGCCTCATTGTATGATAATTTTGCCTTCCTTGAAGCAGAAAGACACTGTATGGTGTGAGGAACGGCCTTCCCTTCTAGTGGGCCTGTGCAGCTAATCTGTGCAGAAATCTGAACATTTTAGAGGATAATCCGAGCCATTTTGAATTAAATGGCTCACATATGGAAGGTGGAAGATACCTCTTAAGAGCTGTCTTCCAAGCCTGGAGTCACACTGAGGTCAGTCGGAGTTGGGGAAGGAACAAGAAGTGCCATCTGCCTTTCTCTGGAACAGAAAGGCAAACAGAGATACAGATGCAGAGATGCAGATGCTGACCTTTAACTTTACGAAGGTTCATGTAACTTTACAGGAACCAAAGTCTCAGAAGTTGAAAACAGTACAGCACGTGGTTGTTGTTAGTGTGGGACAAAACGTTCATTGCAGGCTACAGTTGAAAGGCATAGCTTGGCTGCTTGAGGACATAAGTAATAAAAAAAAATGTCTTTTGGTATGCCATAGCCTCAGATAACTTGGGCTCTAGGAAGTGAAGACCCTCACCAGCAGCTTCAGGAAATAGTCGTTTTCTCATCTACATAAACCTATGGAAATGGTAATAAATGATATTCTGCACATGACTCTAGCACATAATAAAGTTGATGAAACCCAATGACAATATATAACTATTGCTTGAAAAAAATCTGCTGTTAATAAGAAATTTATTTTCAAGCTGCTTTCTAAACAGAGAAGGCAATACACGTGCTGTGCAAAAGATGCAGGACAAAGTCTTCCCTTTCTGCATGGCAAGGAAATTTCTCCAAGATTTCTTTATGTTAAAGTGTGTTTTTGGAAGCCCATTAGGATAGRTGAACACATTCTGCATGCTGCGTAGCATCTGTTTTCCTAGCATTAATTTCCAGGAATTCCAATGATAATGTGCTAGCTCAGACCATATCTTTCATAAATGTCTGGAGGCAAAGTCTAGAAGATAAAAGTCTCAGAAATAGGTCAGAATTCTGAATGGGGATCCTTGAGGTTACATATAAGGAAATATTTCTGAATAAATCAGTCGAATRGAATAGTGATAATTGGCTACTTTACAAATATATTAGATTTAAGAATAACTTTTTTTTGTTTTTCAAACAGATTAGGTTTCCTGTGTAGAGCTGGCTTGAATAGGTTTATTGTTGGAAAGGTAAACATTTTGTAGTTTTTCTATATAACTGACAATTATGTTCCTTCTCTTCCRTGTCTTCACTCTCTGCCTTGTCAGATTTGGTCACACTGAATGACCAATGAAACATCTCAGATGACACCTTGAATTTTACTGTAAAAATTAGCTACACATCATAATATATAGTGGTACTATAACTCAGAGTCACTGTAGTCGGATAAAATGATTATAAACTAGCTTTGAATTACTAGCAGGTTTGTCATCATACAGCAAAAAAGAATTTATAATATTCTTTAATTATCGGGTACAATGCAGTGGTGCCATTTCTACAGGAATGAAATCCAGCAAGAAATTATACTCCATAAATTTGCACTCTCAGTTTCTGAGACCATAAGTCTCAGAACTTAAGTTCTGACACAGACTCTTCAGGAATCAAGCACATTGTTGTTTCTTGTCCTGAAAAGGGATGGTTCCGTYGACAAAACCTGGAAATCTGCAGATGTTCATGAAGCTTTTGGAAGCAATGGTCATCATACGGTGGTGTGTGCTGAGAAAAATGCAGATTCCTTTGTTTTCAGAAGTAGACAGGATTGGAAATCTTTTTCATTATTCTACTCTCTTTTTATTCAGCCTGTGAGGTTTCAGGAATTTGCAAAATCTGAACGCCAGCCGCACTCCTCTAACATTAGCGTTACACAGGGCCACATCTGCATTCCAGACGCTATTTACACGTTCTTGTTTGTTCAAGAAGATATTTCCTCTCTGTGTCGTACTGTTGGCTAATTGTAGATAATTTATTAAACATATAGAATAAAGTCTCAACTTTGTATTTCAGTAGAATTTACTTTGTTGATATGAAGCACACAGATAATCTGCTGTGAACGTCAGAATACTTCTTGCAAAATCAAACGTTCAGTTCTTCTCCCGCTCAGAGAGTTTAGGACCAGAACGTGGTCCTGTTTCCTGGTGTACAGGCACAGAAGGAAAGCACAAAGCATCTGCTGATCCTTTTGCACTACTAAAAGAGAGATTTAGCAAAGTTATCACCTCTCTGGTGTCTTGAGTAGGGGTTATTCTCTCACATGAGAATAGAGATGTGGATGTGACCGCACCATTTCAAACACCACTTTCRTGTCTTAGCTGCAGATGTAAGGCTCTTACTTATGGCTACAGCAAATTTCTTCTTTCTACTGGAACAAAACCAGATTTGCATGTGAAATGTTCTTTTTAACYCCAAATTTTGAAAGAAATCTGTAAATATGACTGATTTATGTGCTGTGGAAGTATTCCACATTGTTGCTTTTTATCTGTTTCTTTCTAAGCAGATAAAAAAATACAGTTTTTGCTTTCTCCATTGAGTTATTTTGACATATTGTTAATCTTTGAGTGTGCTTCAAGCAAAAAATGAGGATAAAATGCATGCATTGTGCTGAAGTGAAGGAGTTGCATAAAAGCCATGCATTTATTTATTCCAAATGGAAGCGAATAAAATAAGGCTTACTATTTTAATAGATTCAGATGGGTCCAGGAAAGTCCTTTCTAAAAACCACTTAAGAATCTGACCTTAATTAATCATTAATGAAAACTACTTCCAGTTTGATTGTAACAAAATGCCAAACAATATGGAATTTATTTTTGATGGTGAGAATGGAAACACATTTTTTGTGGGATTTTGGACAATGCACATGCACAACATCTCCAGTCCTTTTCCTTTCTGAAAAAAAAAGATAGTGTTTTGGGGATTTTCTTGAGGATTGCTTTCTAATTTCTTAAAAGGTACTGTAATTTTTAGATAACAGCTTTAATACACAAATTATTTGGATATAATTGACATTTTCACCTATTAAATGTAATTACTATGAGTCGATTTTTAAGTTTGATTTTTCTGGATTTTTTAGGGCTTGGGAGCCCTTGGCTGCAGTGGAAAAATAAAGGAAATTTCTATATCAGAATGCCAGAACGTCAGCGATACTGGGATTCAGGTAAAACTTCACCTCTTTTCTTATTTTTTTCTGGAGACCTCCCAAGTTCTTCAAGTTAACCATCTCCAAAGCAGATCTTGCTTTACTCTGTATGTCATTAACTTCCCTCAGTCATTATTGCCCRTCTCTGCACTCAATCTTACAAATGGTTCTCCCCCTTTATTCCTTCAATTTTATTGTAAGTTTTATAATGAATCTGAATTCTGTCCTTCTGCAGTGATTTGCACATTATCTCCTTTCACTTAATCTCATTTGCTACTTTTTCATTTTAATAAATCTAAAACATGCCAGTGAAATTTTGTGCTTTCACATTGTGTTATGGATTACTCTTTTCCATTTTCAGACTCCTTCTGGCTTTCTTTGTATTCTTTTTAAAGGCAGGGATTTTCCTTTCAGAGACTTGCTTARCTCTTCCTGGCTTAATCTTGTCTCTGTCTGTCCTTATTCCTCATTTTAATTTCTTTCATTTATCTGGTCATGTTTATCTCTGTCTGCTGTGTCTTATTAGCTTCTCTTTCTCTTACATTTGTGTGCAAAAAGGTAAGTTCTGTCAAAATAGAAAACCAAAATGAAATCTGAAGTAAAATGACTGATAATTTTGTTTCTGAAATCATTACAAGCTCCATCAATAAGGTGTCTAGGCAAGAGTAAAATTGCTTCACGCATATCTGTGTTTTGAAACTGGTAACAGACTAAGGCATATTTATGATATTTGGATCACTTTAAGAATGCTAGGCTGAGTCCACCTTAGGAGGAAGGGGTCAAACTCTTCTCAGTGGTGGCCAGAGACAGGACAAGGGGCARTGGGTGCAAGTTGAAACCCAGGCAGCTCCATGTGCATGTGAGGAAGAACTTGTTTGGTGTGAGGGTGCCCGAGCCCTGGCCCAGGCTGCCCAGGGAGGCTGTGGAGTCTCCTTCTCTGGAGATCTTCCAAAGGCGCCTGGATGCCGCCCTGTGCCCCGTGCTCTGGGTGTCCCTGCTGGAGCAGGGGGCTGCTGCTGGAGGTCACTTCCAACCTCATTGCATTATCTCTTATGGACACAGAAATATTTCTCAATACTTTCCTGTAATGATATATTTCTTACAGATTAAAATCATGAAAAATAACAAATCATCTTTAAATGAGAAATGCACGTTCATCCTCTTCAAACCGAGCAGGTTTCTCAGCTATTGTGTGGGAAAAATAACAAAAATCACCATGTAGTTGTTTGAAAAAAAGACTATTTAAAAATCCCATGAGAACATCAAATGCAAATTTTATTCATATGTAATGATGAAACTAAGTCATCTGCTGGAAAATGCTTGAGCTACATGTATGTTAGATAGAATTTGAATTCCTAACTTACTGAAGATCTCATTATGCTCACATTGAGCCAACTGCTGAATTTCACTAAGCACCATTTTCCCAATGTTTTTCTTTCCAAAATGATTATTAAATATTGTGGTTTTGAAAATTAAATATTGGATCTGAACACTGTAAAGCTAGATATCATTCTAAAATGCAAAAGATTAATATGAAACATGTACCTTTTAGTCTTCTGACCTCAGTTGTAGCCTATAAACTTAGACATTTACTAGGGTCAATAATCTTTACAAAGTTATGAGACAGGAAAGTGATTCAAATCTAAAAAGCCAAGCTACAATTTGAAGTTGCTGCGTAAGGAAATATTTAAATTTATATTCATGATAAGTTTTAAACTTACATAGTGACAGATTTTTAACATTTACTACTTCTCTTGAAAACATCGTAGCACTAATACTAATGAACTCTATGTTACAGTGTTTATGATTTTTTATATATTTTGCTTTTTTTGCCAGTGTTAATGATGAAATTTCCCATCCAAGTATTTATCACACTTACACTATGATCACAGCAGTTACTATATATTAAATACAGATTTATAATTTATCTAACATTATCTTGTTTTGGTAAAATCAGTCAATCTGTGTTATTATAATTCTCCTTATGGATAAACCACTGAAGTAGAAACTGGAAGAGATTCTGAGAGGACGCTAGGGAAGAGGAGAGAAATGAAGCACTTCCCAAACAAGGAGCAGCCRGGCAGGCCGGGAACCTGGAAAGGAGGTGGTGGAGGGAGCACGACTGTGGTCTGTGCAGTCCTAAGTGCAAGGGAAAGGATGGATCGGGATCAGCTTCTTGCTCTTCACTGCAGTACCTAATCTAAGCAAAAGGAGCCTAAGCAAAAGGAGCCTAACCTAAGAGAAAGSAGATGGCTCTTTCCAAGGTGTATACTTAAGCTGGGATATTCCTTATCCTTATCACAGTTTTTTTTTTATCACATTTTTTTTGAATCAATCACAATTGTGATACAAAATGTATTTGTTTGYGTGATACAAAATTGTGATACGGAGTGTATCACAATTCAGTACATTTGCTTAATTTTACTGCTTTGTGTTTCAGAACAGTAAAATAACATTAATTAGTGATTTTGTAGAAAGAGGATTATTATTAGGATTTACATCCAAATAAGAGCACTTTTACCTGTAATTTGTAATGAGATTTGTCCCTAACCATATGTGACAGAAATATTTAAACCATCTCGTTTAATGACCTTAATTTCATGCCCATAAACAGCTGCAGATCCTAAAACTGCAGGTCCAGGCAATGCCATCATGTAATCCTAGTTTTCAGTTTCTTCTTTTTTTCCATTCTGAAGCTCCAACATCCATCATTTCATAGCCATATATTATAAGAATGAGTCAGTTCTTGCTGCGCCACAAGGAATGTATCTGGATTGAATCTTGTTAGCCCTAATGCACATCAGGCCATGAGAATCTGCTTTTTTAGGAGTAATTCTGACTGGCCTTTCATGAATGTTTTGTGTAAAGTTCCATGTTTTTAAATCAAATAATGGCCAAGTAAGTACATGTCTTGTGTATATCTCTCTGAAAATCAGTGTAGAGCCAGGGTTGCTCGTTTCAGAGCAGAATATTCACTGCTGCATTGTGCTATGGCTTAGGGCTAACATCTCACCACATAAAGTCCAAAAAAAAAAAAAAAATGGAAAAAAATGTTTATACTTTATAGGGGGCTATGCAGTATGAATTTGAGCTTCCTGAGAATGGAGTGCATGAAGATACAGCAGTTAGAGGAGCCACATTATCAGGGATCTGGGAAGGACAAGAGAAAGAAGAAAAACTAAGGAATTGCCTTAAAAAGTAATGCCAAGSCCTTTTTTTGTAAACTGAATATAAAGTATGGGTTTATGGAAACTTTCTAGAAAGTTACCCCATTATACACTGCACATGTTGTTTATCCTTTGGTTATATTAAGMATAGTTGAATTATGTGGAAAGAAAATGTATATTAAAAGTCTTATTAACACTGTCAAAGTAAAGTGTGGAAAGCTGCAATATGCCAGAAGTTCTATTAACCTTCTGCTGTTAGTTGATCTTGTGCCTGGGCATTATCACAGCATTGATCACATATCTCTATATGTGTATGTGATTATATGATCACATATTTGTAGGTAGGACCTCTGCTCTTTCATAATGTGGATGATAGTCACATAAAAGCAGCTGTTCAGTATGTTGTAATTTCATTGATGCTTGTGTGTGCTTGGGTGTTATCTACAGAATCTAGATTATCTAGAATTAAAACTGTGCACATAAGTTCAAAAATGATTTTGTTTCCATCTTAAGATGCCCGTCCCTTTRTAGTGGCTGAATGTCTTGCAAACACCCGTTATCTTCACGGTCACTCTGGAGATCATAGTCACAGATGTAGATCCAGGAATACAGGGATGAGCAAACATGACTCCATTTCTCTTGGCTGCCAGTATAAATTTTATACCAGCATCTGATAATGAATAGCACRTTTTTAAGCCTGCGAAAAACAGGCCTAAAACCTGGTCTACACCTGGCTTGGCGTACACCAGTGTTTTTACCTAATCTGGTAATTTACAGAACTCTCTATTGCAGTAAATAGTGCTATTTGCAAAATAATGTAGGTGCAGCCTGCAAGTTAGGAGCAATTCAGAACCTAATTTTGAAGGATATTTTAAATGCACAGTATATCAGTAAAAACAAGATAAAGCACCATGGAGGCACTGAAATCCTGGCTCCAGCTCGTGCTACATACCCTAGCTGAGAATGCAGTGACTAAGTCATCGYGCTTGAGGCCTAATCCTGAAGGGAGTTGGGCTTCTCTCACATGGAGATAAAAACATTTTCTTACTGAGTGTTCACAGTGTTTCTGTATTGCAGTTAACACCCTGAAAAGCATGTTATAGGAACAGTACAGGAACCAGATTTTATAAAACCTGGCTTGTCCACTCTGACTTAGGTTAAATTATTCACCTTCTGGTATTTAGCAAAATAAAACAAGACCCACAAGCTGTGCTTGTGGTACAACAACCACTGCTTTACTACCCGAGTAAGATAGAAAAAACAAAAGCATAAGGCACAGAAGACAAGTTTTTGAAACCTGGTCTACGAAATGAGCTTCAGTGAGTTTGTTCKCATCTGTTCATGTAAAATTCATGAAACTCCTCCACAAGTTCTGGTCATCAACAAAGTGACATTTCAAATGATCAGTCATATTTTCATGCCTCTATGAGCACCTTTTCTTAAGTAAGGGAGAACAGGTATGTGTTAAGAGGTAGTAGTCTGACCAGYGTGGACTTGTCTTCAGAATGATAAATATGTGAGTACATTGATGTTTCTCCGGGTGCATGCACATTTGCTCTGCATCCGTGTAGCCCTTACTTTCTTGACCTCTGGATTGCTTCCAGAAACTTCAGAAAAGCTTCCAGCAACCAGCATTTTCTATTCAGTCAGTTTGCTACCTAAATATTTCCGCATTCCCCCACAGAGAAGTAGAATTTCCACTCCAATAATTGCCAAATTACACTGGATTTATGCCAAGATTAGCAGACCTGGAAGATCAGCCCAGTGCTTCACGTAAGATCCACTATCTTACTGCCCTTCCAGGCTGGCAGTCACAGAGGGACTATTGTCATTGAAGCTAAACCTTTGCTTGAACCACAAAATGTTCTGCTTTTGGAGCAAACACRTCATGGCATCATTAAGTGAAGAAGTACCATCCTCTCTTGACTGTCCATAAACACAAAATTATGCTATACCTTCTTCTCTTTGGGGAAGGACAAAGGAATATTCTTTGTGGTTGAAAAAAATCTGTCCAAAGGATGAACCAGGTTTCAGAGTGAGAGGAAAAAAATGGCTGGTCTGGTAGAGTGCATGGCGTAAGTATTAATAACTTAAGAATTCTGTAAGAAATTATGTGGAAGATGGAGTTTCTTCATAATAATAATAATACCTTATGCCACTTGCCTTACATCACTTGCCAGCTGCAGGTCTCCCAAATGTTTTGTAAACTGTTCTTGCAAAGTTCATAACGTGTGAAATTATCTCAGCTCCATTTTACAAGCTGGGAAACTGAGTCACTGAACTATTTAGGCTGATGTTTTCACAAATGATTGCTGTTTTATGGGGTGTTTGAAGAAACCAACACCTGAGTTATAAAGCAGCTGAAATTTAAGCCAGGGGCTGTGGAGATGTTTAGGTGCTACAGGTGCTATCCTCGTTAGAAAGGAAGCCAGGAAGTGCAATCCACATCTATCACAGTAATAATTACAGCAGTGCTGGCCACAGTCAGCTGTCCTGAATTTCGCTTTGCAGATCAGAGCCTAGAACTCCTGAAATTCTCACCCATTCCTTTCCAAGAAAACAGTAGAATTTGTACAGATACAGTTGTTTGTTCATTTTGATGAAAAATGTTAATACATACACAAAATTGGGCATATGCAGAGAGTGAATACATGTTTTGGAGGCTGGTCCTTTGAGTACAAACTGCTGTGTTTGGATTTGTGATCATTTTAAAGGACACAAATTCAACATGTTTTATTCTGTACAGTGAAAGTTGCATGAATGTTAGTCTGATGAACACACACTGTCATGCATCAGCATCAGAAATGGAAAATGATCTCTTCGAACATCTCTTCTCCAGTGGAATTTACAGCCKACAGCTGAGTGACTTCACTGATAATAAAGGATACAAAAAGCAGCTAAAGTGTCTGAAGGATGTAATGTAAATGTATTGCAAACGGAGAAAAGCGGGGCAGGCATCGCATCGAGGAATGACCTGTCTGTCTGTCCCTCTTTCAGAAGTTCTGCCAAGACTCAAAGCACCTCGAGTCCTGTCACGTCTCCTACTGCCCTCAGCTGACGGACGAGACTGTGAAAGCTTTGGCATTTCACTGCCACAGACTGACATCCATCAGCATAGCTGGCTGTCCAAAGGTATGTGTAAAAACCGGGAAGGAGAGTTTTGGGATTGCTATTCCAAAGAAAGAAAGAGCATCACTCAGAAATCTGACCTGCTGGCACATGTCTTGCCACAGTTCTACAACTTATTCCTCTCATTTAGAAATCAGAGCCAAAATTCAAGTGACTTTCCATGAATTTTAAGTTATGAGAGCCAAGTCTTTAAGATGTTTGGCCTCCTTCTAGTGGTTGTGACTAGGACATCAAGCTGTCGGTACTCGGAGGGGTGAAAGRCTGGCTCCCCAGAGCTGCTCCCTAGGGCACATGCTGCTGTCCTGGTGGCCTGTGCTGAGGAGAGCTGGATGCCTCAGCAAGGGAACAGCCCAGCCCACAGGTAGGAGCCCCAAAACGCTGAGAAAAATGAGGACTGTGAGGTGGCATTTCAGGAGCAGCGGGAGCCCAGCTCGCACTGCAGGTTAAGCTCGACTTTAGGCTCCGTTTCATGCTCAGGGCCGTGCAGTATTGGCCGCCTGTGGGTCGGCAGGGCTGGTGCAGCAGGGCCTGGGCCTGCTGAGCGGGACGGTGCCAGGAGGGGCTGCAGAGCAGCGCTGCGGGCGGCCGCTTTCCTGCAGCACCTGCCCCCGCGAAACACCCTGCCCCTTCCTTGGAACCTCCTGCACCTTTTGTATCGTGTTTTCATTTTCCTTTTATACTGCTTCTCACTTATCTCTTTTTGTATCAGAATGAGTGTTCCTTTTAGAAATTACTGCTTTTTTGAAAGGCTACATTTTTTTTTTCTCCTTCATTTCCTGATGTAAAACTTCTGGCTCTTGCTTTATATAGTAGGAGAACCAAATGCTTGCTGCATTTTGTCAACAAGCATCCCAATGCAATTTTTAAAATGTRATTTCAGTTTGTTTAATCCCATGGAAAATGCAGTTGCAATGCTACTGCCACTTATGTCAGGTGCTGTTATTACTTTGGAAAAGGATCATCATGAAGTATCCTTCCAAAAAATGATTACACTTATTGAGCTGGGCTTCCCTCTTTCTCTTATTGAAACGTCCATGCCATATTTCTTCCCAGAATATTTCCATAGCCACCCCTTATCCATGCCTACATCTTCTCATAACACCCTACATCCAGCTCCAAATCTCTCCATTACCCTCTCAGTTCTCCATACAACCCTCATGTCCCTGTGTTCACTGTGGTCACCAACCGCTTTAGCCTCCTGCCACTTGTCCGAGCTGACCTGAGGGACGAGGGAGCCCGCCCTGGAGAACAGACCCTCCGAGTGATCCCTCAGCTCACACGGTCCTCACACCAAAAAATGCATCTTACCACAGCCCCCACTTTACATTTATAGATACCTTCTGTAGGCCATTAATTATTATATACAAGAGTCTCAATTTCCCGTGTACTTTGACTTTAGATAGATACCAAGGTTTTCTCTTTTTTTCCATATTAATAATAGATGTGCACAGAAATCTTTCTATGGTAGTTTAAGATGGGTATTTTTGCAAGCAATCTCCTCTGCCGTGCTTTTGACTGTACCTTATACACACAAACCAGAAATGAATTAGCACAAAATGGCCATAAATAGACTTAGGCTGGAGATTGGGAGAGTTTCTACCCCTCAGAGGAGTGAAGTCTGAAAGTACCCCGGGGAGAACGATGGCAGCAAAGTATTAACTCATGTTAGGATGAATCTTGAAAAGGGGATGAACTGGAACTCTGCTGCTAGATAATATCTTTTCCTTTAAAAGGTATTAAAGCCAATCTAGTAACTGCTAATCTCCTTCCATATTCAGAAAAAGACCATCAAGAATTTTTCAAATAAACTCACAGATAAGTTTATAGGGCTTCTTTTTTGTTTCCTTTTCTCTCCTTAAATGCAGCTTGCAACTCCATAAACTGAGTTGGGTACAGCCGTGGAAGTTAAAACTAATGGGTCACTGAAATCCTTTGGCAGCCTCTAGTATAAATTGAGGGGATCCAGCTGCTAAGTAAGGAAATATTTTCCACTTGGAGACTGTTTAAAAATGGTCAGGAGATTAAAACAAAAATGAATCTATTCCAAAAGAGATATGTTAGTATGTGTGACAGTCGTGTCCTGCAACATCACAATACCTGAATTTAAAAAAATAGCAAGTGTGTGAAAAATGCAATATACAAATATTGCATTATTATTATTATATAATTATAGTAAATATTGCATAATTATTATATAATGTACACCCATGAAGAATGTTTTGGCATGTGCTGTTAAGATTACTGCACAATTAGAAGCGCTCATCACCTTAAACATATCTAGGATATATTTAAATTAAGCTTGCTTGCATAAACCTCATAGGCTTTAGTAAGACTCCCTGTCTTAATACTGAGCATAGAGCTAAGCCTGAACAAAGGAGTTACCTCATGTTTTCCACAGGGCTCTGTCAGAGGGTGTTTCATTTTCTGTTCCCCACACAAGATCACAGCTTCATCTCTTCTTGCCTCTCTTAGGTTCTTATGACATTGGCTCCAAAATACAAGTCAAACCCATTTCTCTCTTTCCATCATTCCACCAGGGTTAGAAACCTTCTGGTTTTAATAAAGCATCCTTTAAAGRTCTTCAGCACATCTTCCTCTAGATTCTTGGTACTGCCTAAACACATTAATTAAAGCCTATRCATCATTTATTCATAACTGTTCCCGCTGATGTCAGTGGAGCTACTAAGYACCTGGCACGACTGCTTTGCACCTTGAAGACTCTGTCCCAAGCACTTCTCAAATGGAACATCCCATATTAATGGTAATGAATGGCAGCTTGGAAAAATGGACCTGTGAAGTGAGACTAAGTAGTAGAAACTAAGTAGCTTCAGATGAACAGAAAAACATCTGTGTGTTAGAACGRTCATGGTGTCAGGCATTTGTTTATAAGAGAACAAAACTGACACATTAATCTCTGAGACTCAGAGTGGAGCCTACTGCAGTTTAGAAAGAACCATGACGTGCTGAMGGCTCACGGTACGTGCCCAGTTATGGGGCTGGGACAGTGAAACCGTTGTGATTAGGTGAAAAATCCCACACTTCAGAATGTGTTGGGATCACAGGAAGGGGTGTGAAAAGCCTGACGCTGCSGAGGAGTCCGCTGCTGACATTGAGGAGTCTGTTGCACCAACTTCCCTTCCACACACTTTAAAATTATTATTTAAAATACAAATTCCCTACACATCAGCTAGTAAAATTGTGTTGTATTTTTTGTTTGAATGGTAATCTTCTCACATTTGTGTGTTTTATTGCTTCCTTTGCAGATGACAGATCTGTGTATGGGCTATTTGGCTGCAGCCTGCCGTTACCTCCACTTCTTGGATATCTCCGGGTGCATTCGTCTTACTGACAAAGCCCTGAAGTATCTCTGGAAAGGCTGCAAGCAGCTCCATGTTCTCAAGATGCTCTACTGCAGAAATATTACCAAGTAAGAGGGTGTTTTCTAATCTCAGTTCAGAGATGGTTTCAAACCCTGAGACATGGAGCCCGTCTTTGCTGATGCGTTGGTGCCAAGTCGGGTGTCTGCCTTGAGCCATCTTGCTCCTTTAGCTGGAGTGTCCTTAATGCAGCCTTAGGGTACGTATAGCACCAGCCAGAAGCCAAGGAAAATAGGGACCACAAGGAAAAGAGGGCAGACAGTGTTTGGTTAGGAAGACATGGACGCAAACGTGTCCAGCTGCTCTGAGCTGGCCCGGAGGGACAGTGGCACACAGAGCAGGAGCACCTGGCTAAAGCCTGGGCATGGGCACGTGCTCAAAACGCAGCAGGGTCACAGCCAAGGAGCCTACGTGTCCCAAGAATAGTTTCCCAAGAACGTGTACACGAGATATTTTTATGTATCTTTCAAAAGAAGTGCCAGCTACCAAATGTAATCTAATCCCCCATGGTTGTGAATGGACCCAGTGTCTGGATTCAACATGGGGTCCAAAACCCGGTCAGTTTTGGTCAGGTTTAGACCAGAGTTTTCCACCTAAGCTCCAAGATCCAAGATCTCCACCTATGACATGGGTCTCCCAAGACGCAGCTGCAAACCCACCAGCCTCCCCTGGCGCTGGGAGACCCGCAGCGGTACCGGGCCAGGCACTCGGAAGGTGCTGAAAGGTCTGGAAAACAGAGTCAGATTGGGCTGATCGAGTATGAAACTTACACAAACTTTATGACTTCATTAAGAAATGTATTATGTATCATTACATTACATAGAGCACCATACTAGGAGAGCTCTATAACCTAACAGGACAACTGTGGATCAAGCATTCCCTACTAAGTCATTTCACAGTTTGGAAGTCAATGTGGAAATTAAAGACTGATGCAGAAACTTAATAACTTCAAGCTATTTACAGCCTGTTTCCTGCTTTCCCAGCCCTCATTGCTTTCTTTTTCTGTAATCAACTTGCCACAGACAATCCTGCTATCATTAATTTGCTTTTCCTTACTTACTAGTCTTTTTCATGCCCTGTGATTTAGATTTCTTAATGTCATCTCAAAATATCTTTCTCAAAAAATCTACTTTTAATTAAACACTTGTTAGCCATGGAGAGTGCTCTGAAGAAGTGAGATGTGGCACTAATCATTGAGAAAAAAAGAAATCTAAAAATACTTCATTCTTCATTCCAGAAAATAGATTTAATGTAAATTTTGAATTTCCTCTTTACTTTCCGATTTATCTTTTCCTTGTTAAGCCTCCAGGAATGATCTCTTCACACACAAATTATTTTACTTGACCTGCTTTTCCTGTGGAGCACCACACAGCCTCCCACCCCTCTTGAGCTCCAGTCGCTCCTCCCTTTCCCTTCAGCAGCGGGAAGCAAGAGGGAGAGAAAACGGGGCGAGTTCCCATTCACTTGGCTGGGCCCTGATGAAGGAGCCCCCTCTTTTCCCACCAAACCACTCAGGTTCCTGCAGCTCCATCAYGTAGGAAAATTCAGCACTGGGGATTTTCTTCCCTAGTTCTTCCAGACACGTCTGCAGAACCTGCCCCTGTGGAGCAGACTGGGCACAGCGAGATCAGAGCAGCTCTTCAGCACAGACCACAGACAGTGCTCATCAGATGGAAAAATAACCAGAAAGTAAGAGGGAGTTCACAGTTAGATTCAGATATGTGTCACATGCCACATTTTCTAAAAATCTTTCTGTTTTTTATAGTTCAAGACCAAACTTCTGCCACTAATTGTATTTGAAGCAAAGTACAGAACAGCAGCGATTCTGCCCTGTTAATAATCTTGCGGCAGGTTTTTGGCTATGACATCAACGACATATTGTCATTTATAGGTCACAATATACATTCGTAGAATAATGCATCTCATTCACGAACTCTATGTTTTTATTAATGAATAATAAACARAGAATTGTCACAAAAATAAAGAGCTCCCATTCTTTGATTTCAGACTAAATCTTAAAGCCTTATTCAGCCTTCATGGTGTTCTTAGATCTTCCATAAGATGTGCAGGAAAAGGCTGTTTTCACATGTAACTTATGTTCTCCAGGCTGGAAACATGCAAACATTTCAGAGATTCCTRTCTGGGAGAATGGAAGGCTCCTGTGTAATCACATTAATCTTGAGAACTGAACATGCTAGTGGCTTAGATTCTAAATAAGCAATAGAAGAAATATGTTGTAAAGTTGTCCTGCAAAATCTGTAAATTATATTTGCTTCATTTTGCCAAAGGGATTCCCTATCATTTCCCCTTAACCACTAACCTGTCCTAGAAGGCATCTCTTATTGGACTCGGCCTCGCAAGTATTCAGGCACATCTCATGTCACGTGCCACATTCTTTTGCAGTTTTTATGTCTTGGATTAAAATAGAAAACACATGGAGACACTAAATTCTTAATGTTTCAGCCCAATTCAGCTTCATAGGAAAGAGCTATGAGCAAATAAATCATCCAGTCTTTCCAGTATCAGGTAGCACGCGAGGCTTCGTTTGCCAGCATACGAGTCTGGTGCCAGACTTAGTTAAATGTTAAAAGGGAAAAAGGGGCAATGGACTGATACCCTGCTGCGTATTTCTGTACTCAGGCTAAGGAGCTGCCAATTAAACCCGTTTCTAGATGCCATAAAGCACCGTGGTTGATCTGCCTGGGGGAATAAATGACTCTGGTGCAATTCATTCCTTCTGCTAGAGAAGAAGAGGCCCAATAGTCACCTTCGAATTGACTGCTGTAGGAAGTGGGAGATCAGCTGTGAGTCACCTAATCCTGCAAGTTACCCAATAACAGCCTGGCATCTTCAGGGAAACACCGCTCTTGGGACTACTTTTTAACAAGGGACTCATCAACAAATACTATTACCTTTTTTGTCCTTTAAATCAAAATTACATTAGTCTTTAATAGCTGTAACATATTTGGTGCTTGGAGGACATTTTAACTTTTGTTTTTGTTTCCTGATTGTGGCTGTTGATTAGGAGGGAGCAAGAACTCGGTTTTCCCGAAAAGGCAGGACTTCCTAGGCATTATTCACATAGTAAGATCTCGTAAGTAACAAGCCAGGAAAGATTTGGGAATCCAAAACACAGGTAATCAGAACAAGGGCAGCTTCAATGTGATCTGATAAAGGACCATCCATAGTCACTCTCAGGTTTTCTCTTGAAGAAATGATCAAAAAACTCACTCTGCTCCTACTCGAACTGGGGATGGAAGCTGCAGCTTCACGAGGCACCTTCTGCTTTCCCTGCGTGTCCCTCGCCGGCCTCTCAGYGCGGCCTCTCCGCGCTCGGCGCCGTCACCACCTCCAGGGGTTAGCTCCTCTTTTCCACTCATCTTTAGTCCTGATTGTTTTTTGCAACCTCACCTCCAAATGTCTTTTTCAAGACCTCCGCTTTTAATGAATATGGACCCACATCCCAACTTTTCTGAATTTGGGATGGCCCAGAATTCAGGTCCTGGTGCATCTGGAGAAATGCAGATGTGCGTTTCTCAGCTAACTCCTCTTAGTAAAAGGCATCAAAGCCAAACACGGAAATTTCGGGTAAGGACTGAGTTATACATCCCAGCTCTGCTCACGCCATGTCCTTCACACAGTAATTTTATCTGACGTATCAAGAGATTTTTGCTTCTAAAGMTGACTCTGTTGTGCTGGTTTCAAGACACTTTATAAGCAGATGAACAGACTTCATCTCTACACTATACCTTAAGGAAGCACCGCGTTTTCCATGTGTTGGTGATTAATGCAAGGCTGTTTCTGGCAAACTCATCAGTCGTAGCTGCAGGCCTGGGGCAGCACAGGCTTCCAGCAAACAGGAACAGCTCCCCTTTATGCAAGCTCCAACCAGCCACCATACATCGCCCTTTCCACGAAAAACAGGAATTTGGCCTTGGCTGAGTTGATTTTTATTTTATAGGTTACAGTCCCTCATATAAGCTGTGCACACAGCGCTCAGTAGCACAAGGCTCCCTACCATAAAAACACACATAGGCTCCATTCATGCGTTCAGAACAGGGTGTCCGTGTTGAACTAAAGAAAATATCCCATATCCTGCAGTTGCCACCCGCTTCCTGCTGTGGTGGAGCTGGCACCGCAGCTCCAACAGCCACCTCTTCCGTAACCACCTCCATGGTTTTCCCTTTGGAAAACCGTATGACCTAGTGGCATTACTGGCAGGTACCAGACCACTCTCATTGGGATTTTTCTCTAATATCATCTAGATGCCAAATGTTGCCCTCTGGTAAAGAGCTCAGGAAAGCAGGGAGAGAGGCTGCGGACTCTGGCTCAGGCTGGATCTTGGGAAGAGGATGGGATGTGCAGAGTTGGCTCCTGCCAGGGCATTCARACAGGAAGGATGTTGGGAAGGGGATGGGATGTGCAGAGGGGATGGGATGTGCCAGGCACCCGAGCAGGATGGAGCCAGGGAGCTTCCCAGAGTGGGGCCCGAGCAGGAGCTCCCGGCTGGGCTGGGAGCCAGGGCTCAGACTCGTAAGGACTCAAGTGAGTAAGGACTTAAAGTGAAGGGTTAAGTTTCTTCAGCCCAGGAAGCCAGTGCAAGTTGCTGCACTGGTTAAAAAAGCAGCACAGAACACGGTACCAGTAAAGGAGGGAGAGGGAAAAGCTGCTCCAGGCTCCTTTTAGGGTCTCCTGAGGCTCTTTTAGGGTCTCTTGCTCACTTTGACTTTGACTGACTTTGCTTCTGTGTCACATTCCAGTTTATTTTTGTGGTCTAATAAAACACAGTAAAAAGACAGAGGTGACTAAATCCTGAGGGAGATTTCCAAGGACACTCAGCTGGGGAGCAAACAGGAGCAGGGGMCATCACTCCCAGGCACCCAGGGCAGTGGGACATGACGCCCTGTGCTCTTAGATGCCACAAATGACTCTCCCCTGGTTCAGCTGCTAGAGAACCTCAGAAAACAAATGTCCTTGGGATGTCCCCAGGGCTGGTGAAGCAGGAACCGGACTCTGCGACACTGGCCATGATGGGCTCAACTCAACCTCAGCTGAGTTTGAAGCCCCAGTGAGCTTCAAAGGAAGGGGATGGCAGAACTAGGTGATCTCCAGGGGTCTCTCCAAAGAGAACCCTTCTGATTCTGTGGGAAGTGAGCAAGTCAGCTGAAAAGGAATTAGAAGAAAGAAAAAAGGCAGAAGAAAACAACAATAACAAGGCAACAGTAAAGCAAGAGGAGAAGATGGAATGGGTAAAAACACACTTGAAGTTGCCACAGTGTGCAAAGAAAATTCTTGGCCTCAGTGCAAAGCCAAGGCCAAKCCCGTTTCCTGTATCCTTCCTGTTTAGGGATGAAGGGCCATTCGGGGAGATCATCCCCAAATGAGACTAATGAGAGGTGGCACAAGGGACATCCCTCATACAAGTGCCCGTGGGCCCTGCTTGGGCCGGCGCCTCCGCAGAGCGCGGCCGTGGGCACCCGCTGCCCTGACGGGTGCGCCCTGGCGGGACAGGAGTGACGGACACAAATCGTCAGGGACTGCTGAAACGAAGCRGCTTTTTATCACGAGGATGGTTCAAAGGGGAGAAGAGGCGCCCAGAAAGGCTCTGCCATCCCCATGCCTGGAGATGCTCAGAACTTAAATGGGCAGAGTCCTCAGCCACCCGATCTAGTGAGATCTGCTTTGAGCTCGGAGGGACTGAACCACCTCCAAAGGCCCCTTCCCACCTAATTTATCCTGTGACTACRATCTAACCACTCATCTTTTCTTCTCGTTTCCAATATACCCCTATAATAGTCTCAGTTAGATCATGTTAAATCATTCAGTTGGCGTTTCAGGTGAAGCAAGGAACTCTGATCAGACCCAGCTTCTGCTGTTCTTTGTAGAAACAGCCTCTGTTATACAAAAAAAAGATTTTTTGTTTGTTGTTTTCACTCGTTTCAGACAAGCTGTCCTGAAATACACAGCCAGGCTGGAGAAAAGAGAACACAACGACGGGGACCCTCCTCCCTGGCTTGGCTACGACAGGAATGGCAACACGCTCACCTTCCCCAAAGGCAGGAGTTACAAGCTTGAATAAACAAAGCCTTCAGAAAGACAAAGCTACAAATCRTACATCATCACCTACAGTTGTGCTTATTTTTCAACAGCGCATGAGAAGAACACTATCATATTTTTCTTACAATCAATAATCCTTTAATAAAGGAGGTTTCCTTGCTGAGCGAGTTGGGCTGTGGTGAACCTGCAGCAGGAGGCTGCGTCGGGACCGACTTTCAGGTGTTGACTCCTGCTGTCCTCAGCTCTCAAGAGCTGCACGGCTCTGGAGGCCCACGCACAGCAGGCAATAAATACAGGTAGCTTTGGACATGAAGGTCTTTGCTAGGACATAACCACTTCACACAACTGTTTGCCACCAAGAACAGTGCTTAATCTTTATCTTTAACTACCATTCATAATAATGCACAGCTGTAGATGCCCATCCAAGCACAGGTCTCTATTTTTAAGGAATCATTTGCACATCCACAGCACTATTCCRCATAAAGACTCTCCAGGCTCAGAATTCACCTCTCCCAGCCAGCTGGAGTTCACATTTCTAGACTTGAACTGTGCAGTAGTTGGCAGCTGATACAGAGAATAAAAGGTGTAGGGCATAGAGGATATAAGAGTTAAAAGATGATTTCTCTCCTGATGCAAGATCATCTTCTCATCGATTGGAGAAAGAGAAGCAGCATTTAGCAGTAAATCCATTTACGAGGATTTAGTGCTCAGATGCTGCTTACTGATAGCTCACTTGTCTTTCCTTGTATAAAGAAAAATATATAAAGTTTCACCTTATTTTAGCAGAACAAGACATTACTTGTATGTCTTCATGAAAACTCCCAGAGATCTGTCTTTGGTCAGCTCACTGTTGCCTTTACAGTGATGTTCTAACATTCTGGTCTCAACATCTACTAACATGGAATGATTTTAATCACAGCTGCTTTAACGGTAGCACAAGTTTTCTTGTTGCTTAAATGTCTTTAAACAAATTAGATGCAATCCTAATATTCAATTGTAGCTAGTTYCAGAACAGGAAGGGATCAGCTTGCTTATATTTGGAAGTGCAAGACCATTTTCTCTATGTTTGCCCTCAAACTGCAGCCCCCCAGAGTCAACTGCAGCTGATGGGCTTGGCATTTGGGACACATCAGGGCAATGAGAAGGACTCAGCTCTGTGCAGTATCGAACAGGGCTGCTTTTATCTTCAGGGGCAGCAGGAACTCAAAAATGCCTCTTGCACCTTGTGTCTGACCAGTGCTCAGAAGGGGTTAGTTTGAAAAACGTATCGGGAAATTTAAAACTTATACACGTTTATTCATTTTGCATCTTTTAACAGTAATATAATAACAATTAGTAATAACTAGTAATATCATACTGATTTTAGTAAGGCTTTATATATTAGTGTGTGCGCTTATATAAAAAGATACAATTTGCCATATACATCAGTGCCAACCCCATCCAAGGAGCACGTGCAGTGGAGCAGGATGCAGTCTTGAACCCATTTGAATTAAGTCCAAATGTCACCCTTAAGTGCTGCAGTGCATTAGCAAGGAGCAATAAAACTTTCCATGGGGAAGGAGGAGGTCGTTTTATAATGTACTATTATGACCCACAGTATATACAAACATTCATGCAATTTAAAACCTGGGCTCTTCTTTGTTTCTCTCCATCTACTCAGCTGGTAAGAATTAAAACAGTTCAGATTTAGAACACAAATTTCAGTACTCGCATTATAAGGGACATAATAAATAATTCCATATAAAGGGAGAAGGTTTTAAAAGCTCAGTTTGCTCTGCTGCATTTACCTTACAGTGACACCAGCCCCTCCAGCCGTGGGGGCTTGGTCGGGGTGCAGGGCCCTTCCTCCCTCCCTGCTCTGCTCCTCTGCCTCGCAGAGCTCCGCGCTCCTGGAAACGCAGCAAACCCGGACTGGAGACCCCATTTATTAGCTCAGTTTTTGCTCTTTTTATTATTATTCCCTTCTTAGGAGATGAGCAGTGATACACACAGAGACTCGGCTTCTTGTTGCTGTCCATGAATAAGAGGCCCGTGATGACAGGGGAGAAGTTCCACCACGTCGTGTATGCAGCTTTGCACGTATAGTACCCATAGGTAAGGCAGAAACTGCTTGGAGGTCAAACATCAAACCAGATGACCCAGTAAGATTTAACAGTTCCTGAAGTGGTTTTACCCTCACCACAGTATAAATAATTTGGTTGAAGAAAATTCTCAGCATAAATCAATAAAACTCACACAGTACTGAAACATTTCATTAATATACAAGAGCAGGCAGAGCAGGGCACCTTCCGAGGAAACCTTCATGTTCTTACAAATAGTGTGAAACTTCCTCTCACAATAACTCTGCACTTTTGGATGAAAGCTGCCAGCTTTTAGGCTGGCTTGGTAAGTGGGTCAAGTTACACAAATTCTGGATATGAAAGATCATGCAGTTCCTCAAGGCTGTGAGAAGTAATCCAGGACCACACACCTGTGGCCCCTGCTGTGGCCACTGGTAAATGCTGGGTTAAAAAGCCCTCATTTTCAAAACTGTTTTTATCTTATGATAAAGGTAGGTCTCAAAGTTCCCCAATATTACACAAGTGTTGCTCTGTGATCCCTTCCTTGATCTCTCGGGCCTCATTCCACCTTTAAGGAGCCTTCAGCTTGAYGGCCTGGATCCAGCTCTGGCTCTTAAGGGACACTTTGCCATTCTGCGCGTCAGCCTTAATCCACTTGTCTGCTTCCTCCCCCTGATTCATGCGACCTGCAAGAGAGCTCTGTTTAGTCCAGCTGAACACACAAAAACCTCCTCTCATCACCTTGCATTTTTTTCAAGCTCCCTCCAAATACACCGCAAAACTTTGCTAGAATTCATGCAGCTTTAACAGATTCTTCTTGATAGTGGTCTTCACATCCATCCTCCCCATGCTATGTTATCACAATCGATTTGTAGCAGGGCCTTTCTGTTAATTATATAATGTCCTAGGGCTTTGTTATGGGCTGGGATACAGGCAAACACAAAATCTGGCGAGGTAACCTGAGAAATGGTCATCTCAGTGGCCAACGTGGATGAGATTCAATGTGCAGGATGGCTGGACATGCTGCTACTAAAGCGTGTTGCTGCTCTCCTATGCTAAAGGCTTAACAAAATGGAAAGGTCTCTGTCATCCCCATGGGTGCCATTAACTGGGAATGCAGCACCACGCTATGAAAAGTGTGGTGTACTATGGACAAAGGAGAAAATTCACCTTTTTTCTCATTTTCAGTTAAGAAATTGAAGCCCAGAGAGACTAAGTGACCTTTGAAGTTTATGCAGAAAATTTATGACCAAAATGGGAGTTAAATGGGGATGGTGTGAGTGCCAGCYCAGTGCCTTTATCCAGAGGCCTTCCCATCGGGTTATCTTTACCATCTTTACCAAAGGATGTACAACATCCTTCAGTGCTTGTGCAACAGGGCAGGCCCAAGCTGGGGGCGCCGCTGGACACAACCGGCCTCGCAGCCGCAGCCTCCGCGCCAGCCTCTCTGCAGCTCCGTGGTGCTGCCAAGCGGGGTTCGTGCCAGATCCCGGCCAAATCCCATGTGGAGCAGGCCAGGAGGCTGCTTCACATGCAGGACATTCGGAGGAGGCTCTCTGCTCAGTGAGGAGGTATTTGCACATCCTTTGGAATCAGCCCTGGAAAGGCCTTCCCAGCTCCCCTCGYGGTGCCCCGGGACAGTCTCTGCTCTCCTTGCGGAGGCTCCTTCGCCACGAGCACCCACGCTGCTCTGTTAGGCTCCTTCCTGCCACGGGCGGCCACAAGAAGTTCCGTAACACCCACATCTCCACTGTGAATCCAACCGTGCGCTTAAAATGAGCCTGGGAAGATTGTCCTGGGTTGGAGACCTCCTGCCTCTGCCACCAGCTCCTGCTGCCACCAGCTCCCGCTCAGGCACGGCGGGATGGAGGGAGGGAGAGCGGCTGTGCACAGAGGCAGCCACAAGCTGCAGGTCAAGGAAGCACCACGACTAACTGACTGCACAACTAACACACACCACAACTAACACACACCTCAACTAACACACACC